CCAGATCTACCGCTTCCCCCGTCCTAAATATAAAGGGAAGGGCAACAACCTTTATGTATGCAGTAATATAAAATCGCTCCTGGCCAGAGGTACAGAATCACTTACCTGTAAGGGGTTAATCATTCAATTAACCTAGTTAGCACCTGACCAGAAGGACCAATAGGGAAAGATACTTTCAAATCTGGGGTGGGGGAGGTATTTGGGGGGTGGGGGGGAGAGAAATAGGGCTCCAAGTGGCCCCTCCCTGTATATTTGTTTAAATCACTTGGTGGTGGCAGCAATACTGTCCAAGAACAAGGAAAGGAATTTGTGCCTTGGGGAAGTTTTTAACCTAAGCTGGTGAGATATAAGCTTAGGGGGTCTTTCATGCAAGTCCCCACATCTGTACCCCAGAGTTCAGAGTGGGGAGGGAACCCTGACATGGTGGCAGCACGGTGGGATCATTTTGAACCAGAAGTACAGACCTTAGGATTTTAAAAGGACACTTTTAAAGAGCAGCTGGAGGTTTTTCCCTCTGCCTGAGAGCAGAGTAGTTAAGTTCCTGCAAGAAAATTCACAAGCTAAAACAAAAGAATCTAACGCATTTCCTTGCTATTACTTACAATTTCTGTAATTTTAGATGTATCATTTCAGGATCTTGTTAGGAGCTGGTCTGCTTGGTCTCTCTCTTTGTCCCAAGAGGGAACCAACAAAAAGAGCACCAACAAAACCTCCCCCCCACCCCCATTTGAAAGCATCTTCCTTCCCCATTAGTCCTTCTGGTCAGGTGCCAACTTGGTTAATTGAACTGATTAACCCCTTACAGGTAAGTGATTCTGTACCTCTGGCCAGGAGGGATTTTATGTTACTGCATACATAAAGGTTGTTACCCTTCCCTTTATATTTATGACCCCCCCCCCCCCCCCATCCACAAGGCTTGTTATCCTGTCAAGCCTGAAACATCAGCAAAAACTAAATTCTATTTCTTACAAAAGTTGTAATTGTGCAGGTATCCACTATATATAATCCTATACAGTTTCTCCATACTAAGTTATAGACACCAAACAAGAGAGAGAAACTAACTTAAATGCAATTTTAACTGTATACATCAAAAATTACTCTGGCTCAATTCTATTCCATTGCATATATAGGAATACCTCAACTGTTGCAATGAAGTTACACTGTTAGAGAAGAACCCAGGCCCAAAGCACTTGAATTTATAAAATACAGCTTTCATTTAAGCATGTGTATTTTTATAAAGCAGCTGACAGTCCAAATTGTGCCCTACAACCTCCCATTTTAGTAACAAAAGATCAAAGGTCAGAGCTTCAAAAAACATGTTTTGGCCCAAAATGGGTGAAATACTGGAGCTTCAGCACATTACCAGGCATAGTATATTTGCCAATACCCCATTCTATATTTGAAAGCTAGAACAAAAATGCAGAACCTCAAGGACAAAATAAAAATTTTTAAAAAATGAACATATTTGGTTCAGGTTGCAAAATGTCAAAAACTGTAAATCTCATACAGAGGCAGACTTGCCAACTTAAATCATGTGAAAAGGACAGCATATGAAGTGACCCTACTTGTATCCCAAGTTAATATGAAAATTCAGCAGCCATATAAGTGGAATATCAAAAAGTGCAAAGTTTGGATCTAACTGATTAAGGCACTCATTTGGAATAAGTGAAGTACTGTATTCTAATGTACAACTCATACCACTAGGTGGAGGTATTCATACAGTGTAAGGAAAGTTTAATTTTCCTGACCGTTTATTAAGGGACAAGCAATATCAACATTTGAGAGGGGGGGAAGGGGAAAATCAAAGAAAATAAATAGAATTAATTTACCCCTGCAACAGTTTATCATTTTAGGACAAAAGGTACTATATACAGGCAGAATAGAATATTATGGGGTGGTAGCACCACTGTAGTTCAGGCTGAGATGAGTGGATTTAAATGATTTAAAGAAGACATGGTTATGCAGATAGAACATTTCCTGATAATTCAAGACTACCTAATTTTCTCTTATGTTTGCAAACATTCAAATAATACTATCACCTGGCAGCTCTAAAACATAACTCAGTTAAGCCCTTTTAACATATACAAGCTGCCATCATTATAAGACTTGAAAATTTCATCATGCTTTTAAATTTAGGAGTGTGGGTCTCTAACACAAACTAGTTCTGAAACATTAGCAAAAACTAATCTTATTTCTTACAAATCACAAGAGTGTATATGAAAAAAAAAAAACTGGCAAAAGTTGTAATTGCGCAGGTACCCACTAAGATAATGTGATATTGGCCTCATTGACAATTCAGGATCAGTTCAGGTCCTTAGTCTAACAGACCCTAGAAATGCCATGGACAGAGCATGATCTCAGCCCTATAAACATAGAATAACTTTGCTATTCTACAGCACCATCCTCCCATCACCTGAAAAACCTGCAATGAGACTTCAAAAAAGATTCCAACCTACTCTACTAGGCCAAATGATATTGCAGTAAAAAGGTCCAGGAAGACTGATAGATTTGAGAGGGGAAATAGGAAGGTCACTAGAGGTCAAACTCCAACAACTGAAAGATCCAGCATATGGCATTTTACAAAAAAAAAAAAAATCATGATTTCATGAAGTTCTTTACACTTTAGATATCTTATATTTAAAGTATGTGCACATCAGATAAAACAATAATGTAGCCATACTCCACTACTTTGCAGAAGCCACAACACATGCAAACCAAGTCAGAGGTACTAGGGGTTCTCCTGCTAAAACAATTAAGGGGTGAAAGTGGTGACAAGAAACCATTTGGGGGAGGAGGGGAAAAGTGGCAGGAAGGGCAGGCAGCTAGGGCCCACTTGCAAACTAATACATAAAGCTACTTGAATTTTAAAAGCAAAAATTTATGTTGTAGAACCTAATAGGCAAGTTTAAACCTGGCAGCATTAGCAAATAGTGTTCATTTAGGCAGTGGTCCCCAAACTTATGTTGTGTCTCCACTTAGCCATAATGTAACCTGTCCACACCCCACCACCCCAGGGAGCTGGAGCTGCGGCGGAGGCCACAGCCATGAGAAGGGCCAGGGCTAGGCTGTGGTGAGGAGGCTGGAGCCAGAGTGGCTGGGGCCCTGCCCCCCTAAATGTTCCTCCATGCCTCACCCCAGCTTGGAGACCACCAATTTAAGGTACAGCTACATTCCCAGCTGTGGAGACGATTGCCACTTCAAGACAAAATACTCACACTAGCTCGGATTAAACTAGCATGCTAAATGGAGAGTAGCCACAGCAGTGCAAGGGGCTAGTTGTCTGAAGTGCAGGGGTAGGGTCTCGGACAGGCACATTCCATGTAGCTAGCCCATTCCATTGTTCATGCTGCTGTGACAAGTGTGCAAGTCTGCTCAGAACTAGCATGTTTTACCTCAGATTAGGAATCAAATCACAGCTCTACCTCAAACTGTAGACATAGCCTAATCCTTAGTGGCAGAATACATGAAGCAGAAGCCTATGTTCAGGTGGTATTTGATTCAAGCAGATTGTGCTAGTGAAAAGATCAGTCCAGCTGAAGCTTGGGAAGAGAACCTGGATGTCTTGACTGTAGATAAGATCAAATGCAGAATGAAAAGGCTACTATTAATCCTACCCATGAAGGACCATTTCAACTCCTCCCATTAAGCCATAACTATCTGTAAACTAGTTTCCAAAGTGAATCTAGACAATTAAAAGTCTGACTAATCATGTCTAAATGTTTTTGGAAGGAAATGTGACAATAACTATAGCAGTCCACTTGTTGCTGGTAACAAGGGTGCTTTAGGTTGGTGGTATTATCCAAGTTTAAAAAATATTGTCAGTAATAACTACGTACATAAACATGCAAGTTGAGGAATAAATGAAATGCTTCACTTTATTAAGAAACCAAAAATACAAAACTGACGGATTCATGTACTTAATTGAACACTACTGAAAATTATTTCCCTTAAAAACTTCCATTTTGGTGTGTACATCTGGTTTAAGTGCCAGTAAATTTAGTGTTAAAGTTGACATTTTCCACTATCTGTGCTGAAATAAGCTATTTTCAAATTTAGACCTTGGTGCAGTTTGGTAAAGACTTATGTAGTTCAGTCAAGCATGGAATTAGACTCAAGTTTTACTAATTGTAACTCTTCAGTGGAAAGTGAGTTACAATGCTCAGCGAAGAGCCCATTTCACTGTATTCACTGAAGAACACACAGCCTTAACTATAGCAGAACACTAGCTCTGCTATAATTTGTACATCACTTAATATAAACAGGCCTACTGCTGACTAGTTTCCGGTTGCTATAGTATGGAGCCCTCTGAATTTCAAAGTTCATTTTAATAGATTAAAAAACTGCAAACCAGAACTGAAGATTGGTTTTTTTAAAAAGGTAGCATGGAGGTTGAGCTTGGTACTGTATTCCTAAAATAAGAATCCCTGCAAGCAGTCAGTATCTGTATCTCAAATGCAGCCATTAAGAACAGGTTTAGACCTGCATTTTACACTTGTTTCAATCCATTTACACTTGCCAATCCTTCAGGGACAGTCTACATGGTAGGCTAATGTGCACAAGGGGGTGATTTTAAAAAGCATATTAACACATGCAGTAGTTAGCCCATGTCAACCATGCTTGAACACATTCCAAGTTCCCTGGTGTGCTTCTACCTAGTAAGTACTAAGGAACTTTAGTCTGCGTGGACCATGTTTGTGCACACTACTCACACACCCCCAGCACACACTACATTAACCTGTAGACAAGCCCTCAGATGTTCACTGCTTTTGTTTTTTCTAATTAAGTTACACTTCGGGTTTTAAATGTCAGTGTTTAAATCAGATAGGCTTCAAGAAGCCTGTAAGATTACTAGATTACCTTTTAATTTATTACTTGTTGCATACCTATTACAAGTGTAAAAATTCAAATTAAAATTCAATACTATATTAGCATCTATTCAAGGATAGGAGACATTATTTAACTTACTCCTAACAATGCATGAAAGTTCACTTGTTTAGATATTTGAAATACAACTTTATTATGATCTAAACAAAAAAGGAATGGGAATGACAGTAACAAACAAGATTTACCACTGAATACTGTGATGTGACTGCAGCAGTCTTAGTTAGATTTGAAACTCAAAGGGGAAGTAATTGCAGTCCAAAAAACAGCTAGATATGCAGGTCCAAAATATGAAGGAATTTTTTTTTTTTTTTTTAACTGCCACATTCACTCCGAAGCCCATTCATCTCTCAGCATCCCAAAGATTAAGCACATGTTCTGCTCAGCTAGATAATAAAGTGGCAAACACGCTGCACCACTGACATCACAGGACAGTTGCCTATAAAACTAGACTTCTGACGCTGGGCTCCAGCTTCATCCCTTACAGGTCATCATCTTCATCTGGCAGGGCAGTGGTCTGAGCAATCTGAAACAGATAAAATTATATTTAGCAACTAGCTATAGAGTTTGAACTCCTTATAGCAGTTGATTTCTCAGGTATCCATGTTAGAGAAACGGACAACCATTGGAACTCTGTACCATTGTCAGAGCAGTTACCTGTAAGTCTTGCTCATACTGTGCTGCCAATGCTGGGTCCATAACAACCTCTGGGGGCGCAAGAGCAGGCATGGCAACAAACTCCAAGTTGGGATCTCCAATTAGCTTCCTGGCAAGCCAGAGGAAGGGCTTCTCAAAGTTGTAGTTACTCTTAGCTGAGATATCATAGTACTGCAAAAGAGAATGGTCATATAAACATACTCTCACAGTTGAACTATGTTGACACATCTACAGTTGAAAGTCAGACCTTGTTACAATGCCAAGTTTGGCTCTGACCAGGGTCTCAACTGCAAGGTCTTCACCTGCTTTACTCCCAGTGATTTTTGCCAAGCTAAAGTGGTTTGGCACACGATAGAAACAGGCCACTAAACAGTCCCGTAACAAAAAAGCAAGTTAAGACATTGCAGTTGTCTATCAAGGCATCAGATTTCTGGACCTAAACCTTGATTTTTATTCCAATAAGAAAAATAAAAAACAGATTCTTAAGTGCACAAGACTTTGTGAAGAGCTTCATTCTGAACAGGTTCATATTTGGCCCACCTGCTCTGAATTTTTATCAAATTCTAATGAATGTTAGGGTTCCCTTTTTACTCTGTTATTAGCTTCTTTAAATGATGAAGAGCTTGATATCAAGACTGAGTTCAGGGTCTTACATCTCTGGCAGAAGTCAATATTAGTCCTAATGAAGGGAATACAACACCTTTAAACTTCCTATCTGTGTCAATTGTTAAGATCCTCAATTCTGTTCTTATGGAAAAAACTGATTTGATGTTTTACTGCATTTGTAGTTAACTATCACTGGTAATGAGAAATGCATAAGTGCTCAGCATTGCATTTTACCTTCAGAATAAAAGGGCTGCAATAGTACTGTTTAGGTCAATAAGACTAAAAATCAAAACATAAGATTTCTGAAAACAGATAGCCATCATACCTGAAGATTCTTCTTCCTGTGGAAGACAATTGACTTTGCCTTGACTTTTCTGTCCTTAATATCCACTTTGTTGCCACACAACACTATAGGGATGTTTTCACATACTCGTACCAGATCTCTATGCCAGTTAGGTACATTCTTGTATGTAACTCTTGATGTTACATCAAACATTATGATAGCACACTGAGCTGAAAGAAAAATAATATGAAAGCTTAAATTATTTCTTTAAATGTATACTAGCACTGGATAAAAGATATATGAATGGGTGGTCCTCCTGTAAGCACAACCCTCAGTCCACTCTATCCTTAGAGTATTTCACTTTTTCTTTTCCACCTAATAATTCTGTCAGGATACCTTCTGCTCAATAAGCAAAGAATATAGGAGTTCCTGAGACCAGCTCAGGATCATTTGCCTGCTCACATCTTTGGGCCCAATCCTACAAACCCTAAGGTACCCAGTAATTTTATTCATGCAAGTAGTCCCATTGAAAACCAGAGTGTCACATGGATAGGGTACACACAGAGGCTTCCCCAAGAAGTTTGATTTGCCCAAATATTTCTCAAAAACATGATTCAAATAGGTGTAAACCAGTCTCAGACAACCTATCCAGGCCTTCAGCAACTTGAGAGCTTACGGTACATATCTCAGGATGACCCTGTGTCTCCCACCCTAATCCAAGGAGCTTTTCAAAGAACAAAGAGGCCAGACTTTGTTCCTCGTATTTCTAAAGGCAGGTAAGAGGACAAACTCTTTAGAGATGTTCTGCAAAGAATTAACTGAGTCAAATACATAAAGAATAGCTACTTTAGAAAAATATAAAGGGAAATATTCCTGTTTAATGCAGTTTCCGATTCTCTTTAAGTGGGAAATTTAAGCCTGGCAACCCATTTCTCGATTAGTTTGTTATGCCATTTAACTTTACTGGAGAGTGCCATAGATTATTAGAAAACACAATATACAGAATAGCATGACTACTTCCTCATGCTGGCATGGCTACAGTTTGCTTAGGGTGGGATGCTCTTTTTTAGTACAACTATTGTCATATTACTGACCCCTCCCTGTAAAGTTACAGGGGAGTTACTGTAAAACTACAGAAAATTTACACTTACCCTGAATATAGTAACCATCCCGCAGACCACCAAATTTCTCCTGACCAGCCGTGTCCCATACATTAAATTTAATTGGACCTCTATTAGTGTGGAACACCAGAGGATGGACTTCAACACCCAGTGTAGCTGCAATTAAAATGTTAAATTTAGAAACTGCTTATGTAATATTTAAAACTAGTATTAGAATCTCCAAGTGTTTAAACATACCTACATACTTCTTCTCAAATTCACCAGTCAAATGACGTTTTACAAATGTTGTTTTACCAGTACCACCATCACCAACCAAGACAAGCTGTTGAAAGATTTCAGAAAACAAATTAAGTCAACACTTTTTAAAGTCACTTTTACATAATTTTTAACTAAAACACCAATCCTATAAATTGTTCCATGCAGGGAGATTACATTGTTTTGTTTTTTAGTTATAACCTACCTAAAAGCAGTTAATGCCCAGCTTGTTATATATTTCATTATTTGACATTACCACAGTTTAAAGTTGCCTTATACAAACACCACACAGCTTTCAAGTGTTAAATTTGGTTCTACCAGTTACAGATTATTAAATCCAGATAAAAGAATATTCTAGATTTGGCCTGAAAGTGCCAATTCTTAAAGCACATCTTTTTAGAATGTTATATAGAACCATTTCAATTTTTCAAAAAATTGAATCAGTTAACAAGACCCTCTACAGTGCTTGTCATTCAAACACTACAGCATTAGACTAGCACATGAGAGCCACAGTATGACGTTGACTTGCATTGTCCAAACCAAGAAATATGCAATATGACAGTATTTGAGTTTTAGAAAAGAAAAGACTATTTACCTTCCAGAGTGTTTAATAGGACATCAAATAAATAATTTGTGGTTGTCTTCCTATTTTACACAAACACCCAAGACTGCTATAGCAAGGAGTCAGAGTGTGTGTGTAACACAGTGCACTGATCAGCACACTACCTAAAATGAGTTTTTCCTGTTATCTGACGCTTCCACACAACACAGGAAAGAAGTGGTAAGTTAGGAGACTAACGCAAAGCAAAAGTGACAAAGGAACTAGGGAGAGGGAGCATTTGGAAGTACTTTTAATTCATAATCGGAATAGATTTTATGTTGCGCATCACAACGATTTAAAAAGTTTAATTAAACTACAATTCGAATTAGGTATAGAAGCTAACATGCATGGCATAGTAGAAATTCACTCTAGGCCCTAACCTGAGCAAACTTACTGTACAATGGTAAGTGGAGTCAAAACCTCAGCTCCAAACCCGCGGCTGCGCTAACGCCGGCCGAGAATCACGTATGAAGCTGCCCCAGCGAGTCAGACCTGCCCGCGCAACGCCAACTCCTTACCTTAAACTGCACTTGGGGCTCTCCTTGGGCGGCCATGCTGGGTCTGCGGGAGAAATGGCAGCATGAGAGCTCAGCACGCCAGAAGGCGCAGGGCCCGGCCAGCGGGGGTTGGGCGCCGTGCTCTGCGCTGCGGTCACCAGCCGCCTCCGGCGCAGAGGCCCGGGCTCCTCCCAGCCCGCCAACTCCCCGCGTGGTCCCGGCCCCATTCATCGGGACAGGAAGCGCCGCGCCGCATGGGGCGGGAGAATGAGCGATAATGGCGGCCGCACTTCCCCACCCGCCCCCCTGGACCCTACAGAGGGAGCCACCTGAACCCCACTTTCGCCAGGCCCGGTGCGGGAGGAATGAACCACGGGGCCAGCCAGGCGCCCCCAGGGGAAGACGAGCTTGGACTCGCCCCGGGGGGTGTCCGGCTCAACTCCCTCCTTCCGCGCCAAGCCAACATCCCGCCTCTGAGAAGAGACCATCTCCCAATCAACCCAGGCCTGGGAATCCGGAGGGGCCCGGGCTGTCTCCCGCTCCCCCACCCCTCCAACGGGCCCCGCGGCCTCCCCGCGCCACGATGACGGAGCAGCGCGCGCCACTTCCCCTCCCCCCTCTGCGGGCATCCAGGCCGCATCAGCCCCCCTCTGCTCCTCCAGCCAGGCCTGTCCCGCTCCTTATGTGGCCAACGGGCCCAGACGCCCCATCGCGAAAGAAAGGAGACGGGAGCGGCCCCCAGCCAGGCCTCACCTCTCCCCCAGCCCCATTCCTAGGCGGCGACCGACGACTACCACCCCCCTCACGCACCCTCTATCCCTTCCTAAACCCATCCCACTTCTCTCGATCCCTACGGGGAATGGGGGGAGGCCTAGGCCCGTTACCTTCCCGAGACGTCTCTCGGTATCGCTCCCCTCAGTGACTAGGCGCTGGAAAGATGGCGGAAGCGCGGTTCAAATACCCGGAGTGCGACGCCGCGCGGACACAACGAAAGGAGGGAGTGGTCGAGCGTCACGTGATAGGAGGCGGGGGGGGACCGTGAGCTCCCTCCCTCCGCCAGCGCGCGCCGCTTCCTTAGACGTTTTTCTAACCGCCGTTGGAGTGCTGAGAGAAGACGCGCACGCGTTAGTTTAGCTGCACGGAGCGGAAAGGGAATCAACCACGCTTCCGGGTCTAGGGGCGCGGGAATCGAGACGCTCGCGCCCCGCCCTCGGGGTGTGACGTAGAACGTTCGCTCAGGGCCTGGGGATGGCGCTGGGCTCGCTCGCGGCCCGGGCTAAGAAGCCGATTGTGCGGCGTTTGCGCGCGCGGTGGCCTCCCACGTTTCTTCTTCCGCTCCACGCCCCTGCCTAAAACAAGTCCTCGGCGGAGCTGGGTCCTCCTCAGCTCTTGTGCATCCTCCCGGGCGGGGGGTTGAGTGCGCTTCACCGTTTCCGCCCTCCCAGGGCCTCGTGTGCACAGCCCCACCCTGAGGCGGGACCAGCCCTCCCCGTTTTACAGGCAGTGCCCCAGCTTGCTCAGCGCCCTGCCTTTCGTGCGGTGTTACTAGCCCCCGGTACGGCGCTAAAGCCGGAGCCTTGGCGGTGGAGATGGAGGAGAAGGGGGTGAGGGGAGCCTGGGCCACCTGGCCGCCTCCCAGGCTCTAATTAGAAGCAGCAAAAGGACTTAATTGGGAGTAACAACTTCAGGATATAGGTTTCAGAGTAGCAGCCGTGTTAGTCTGTATCCGCAAAAAGAACAGGAGTACTTGTGGTACCTTAGAGACCAACACATTTATTTGAAGCATAACTTCCGGATATTGCCCCGTATGTCTCTGATGAAAGAGTACACATGCTTTATCATCTTGACAGTTATTGTTCTTTTTGCTCTGGTTTGCGTTCTACAGGAATGTATGCGTATGTGCAGGGCCGGCTCCAGCATTTCTGCTGCCCCAAGCAAAAAAAAAAAAAGCCGCGACCACAATCGCGAGCGGCGGCGGCAATTGGAAAAAAGAAAAAAAAAAGCCGCGAGCGGCGGCGGCAGTTCAGCGGCAGGTCCTTCGCTCCTACAGGGAGTGAGGGACCTACCGCCCCCGAATTGCTGCAGGTGCCGCCCCTCTCCCTTGGCCGCCCCAAGCACCTGCTTGTTAAGCTGGTGCCTGGAGCCAGCCCTGTGTATGTGTAAATAAAACAACATGTTTAATAGAGTGGTTTAAGCATCAGATTTGAAATAGCTCATTTCCCCACATTCAGAGCTTAGCAGGATCAGTTCTACCAGTCATAAACCAACTTCCATGTAGTTTAATGGGTTTTCCTTGAGATTATGGACATCAAAGGCCCATAGTCAAAGATCTGACAGCAACTTTTTAAAATGTATATTGGTTTTCCCCTAGGTCTTTGGCCAAAATATACTCTCCTTGTATAACTATTCTTTGCAATAGTTAGATGACATATTCCTACTTCAGAGATAGCATCACTTTAGCATTTCTATAATTTATTAAGTGGTTCAGATCCTTTGTGCTATTAAACATAATCTATTATTTATTGGTGGTTTTCTATGTAGATGATTTTCATATAATGTGTCCTGAGTTTAAGATCAAGGTTTTAAAAGCCTTGTACTGTTTGTTACCATTTCCATGTATTGGCCAAACCGGACCGTCTCTACGCAAATGAATAAATGGACACAAATCTGATATCAGGAATCATAACATTCAAAAACGAGTAGGAGAAAACTTCAGTCTCCCTGGTCACTAAATAACAGACCTGAAAGTGGCAATTCTTCAACAAAAAAACTTCAAAAACATACTCCAACGTGAAACTGCAGAACTGAAACTCATTTACAAACTGGACACCATCAGATTAGGCCTGAATAAAGACTGGGACTGGTTGGGTCATTACAAAACCTAAACCTAATTTCCCCCTACTGTTATTCACACCTTCTTGTCAACTGTCTGGAATGGGCCACTCTCATTACCACTTCAAAAGTTATTTTTCCTCTCTTGGTATCCTGCTGTCAATTGAATTGCCTTGTTAGACTGACCTCACACTTAGTAAGACAAATCACATCTTCCACATGTATTTATACCTGCTCCTGTATTTTCCACTCCATGCATCATATGAAGTGGGTTCTTGCCCATGAAAGCTTATGCCCCAATAAATTTGTTAGGCTTTGGCTTTGGCATTAAAGCAGCCCCGGGCGCCCTAGCTCACTACCCTTCCACACTGGCAAGGCACGTAGAGTGCTCTGAGTCCAGGGCTAGAGCACTCCTGGTATTCCACCTCGGTGAGAAGATTTAACACTTGGTGCGCATTGGCTGAAATGCCTGGGCGTCAGTGTGAACGAGGTGTTGCATTACTGCACTCTGATCAGCCTCTGGAAACATCCCATAATCTCCTTAAATCAAGTGGCCACTCCTGTCATTGTTTTGGAATCACTGCAGGTATGCCGATATGCCCTTTGAAAGCTCCGTTTCTGACAGCCGGCCTGCTTATCTGCTCTGAGACAAAGCAACCATTACTGTGCAATGCTGGGGGGAGGGGAGTCTGTTGCTGTCTGAACTTACAAGATAGCATGCTAACATGCTCTCAGCCCCCCAAAAACCCACTCTCTCTCCCCCCACATACACACAACACACTCCCTGTCACACTCCACCCCACCCCCCTCATTTGAAAAGCATGTTGCAGCCACTTGCATGCTGGGATAGCTACCACAATGCACTGCTCTCTGTGGCTGTTGCAAGAGCTGCTAATGTGGCCACGCCAGTGCGCTTGCAGCTGTCAGTGTGGACAGATTGCAGTGCTTTCCCTACCGCGCTCTACGAAGGCTGGTTTAAAGCGCTCTACATCTGCAAGTGTAGCCATGCCCTTAGTCTCTAAGGTGCCACAAGGACTCCTTGTTGTAAATGCAAAGTGTTACTGATGTTTTCCTTTGGTTAAGACTTACAGAGCTTTTCCCCCTACAGTAGTTTTTCTCGTTGCTTCAAGAGGTCAAGAAGGAATTGGTTTTAGAGGTTTTTTTAATCACATCCAGTATACATAGCTTTTTTCACCATAAATTCTTTCAGTACAGCAGAGTTCTTTATAAAGCACTCCTCCCCTGTACTAAATGATCATTTGAGTCACATCTTTCTTCCTTAAAACTAACTATGCCTATAGGAGCTAAGTATTTAATAACAGAAGTCCATAACAATAAATTGCATGAGCGTTATATCAGCTTTTAACAAGAATACAGACATGGCCAGAAAACATTTCAGTCTGTACCTTTATTTGTATGGTGGTTAAATGCAGATTTTATGAGTTGCTAAATACTGGTCCAGAGTAATTAGTAAACGTTGTTTTACTTCAAACAGAGTCATTGAATGATGTTCTAAGCTAATTCAGTGATCTGAAATGCTTTAGAAATACCATGAATACATTTCAGGATTTTAGTTAACAGAAGGTGTGTAGATTTAGGATTATATATAGAGAGAGAGAGAAAGAGAATTTTGGGTGTATTAAAATATTGATATTACATTTTGTGAAGTCATACATACAGAGAGTTAGAGAGCACAGAAGTCTTCCTTAAGGCTATATCTGCACTTGGAGCTGGGGTGTCTGATTCCCAGCTTGCATAGACATACCTGCACTAGCTCTACTCGAGGTCATGTGCTAACATTAGCAGTGTAGCCAGAGTCGCAGGTTGGGCTAGCCAGCCTGGTGCATATGCAGGGAGTCCAGAGGGATACATACACAGGGCAGCTAGCCCAAGATGCCTCCTGTGCTACCCCAGCTACACTGTGCTATTGTTACCACACTACTTCAAGTTGGGAGAGCTGGGAATCTCTACGCTTGGATATAGCCTTTGGGGGGAATGCAGTAGTGTGGATTTGGAAAAGGAAGACCATTTGTCTATGAATAGGAACATAGAGAGTGCCATACTCAGGGCCAGCGCAACCCATTAGGCGACCTAGGCGGTTGCCTAGGGCACTACAATTTGGGGGGCGGCGACCGCGGCGGTATTTCGGCAGTGGGACCTTCCACTGCCTCTGTGGGGGGCGGCATTTCGGGGCGGGACCTTCCGCCACCTAGGGCTGCAGAAAAGCTGGCGGCGCTCCTGGCCATACTGCTTCAGTCTCTCTAGGCCAGTATTCTGTCTCTGACGATGGCCAATTCTAGATGGTTCAGAGGCTTGAATGAGAACCCTGCTGGAGGCAGTTGTAGGATAATCTGCCCCCACACTAGATCCACAAAGAGATTTAAATCCCAAAATGTATATCCTCAAAATTCCCCACACTCAGCTGCTGCTTAACCCTTGGAGGCACCTAAATTCCCAGAGCAGCTAAGTTTCTGCCAATAAGAAAGGTGCCTAAATTCATTTGGTGGAGATGTGCAAAGTTGCCTAAACCATTACACTGCTGAGCAAATCAGTGCCCAGGGGCAGGTCTACACTACAGGGTTAAGTTGACCTAAGTTACGCAACTCCAGCTACGTAGCTTAGGTCGACTTATTGCAGTTGACGGGAAAAACTCTCCCATCGACTTACCTTAAGCTTCTTGTTTCGGTGGAGTACCGGAGTCAATGGGAGAGCGATCTGTGGTCGATTTAGCAGGTCTTCACTAGACCCACTAAATCAACCCCCAGTGGCTTGATCACTGCAGCGTCGATCCAAGGTAAGTGTAGACATACCCTAAGACATAGCAAGGTCCTTAACCTAGGTGTTCTCTCACCTATCTCACCTGTGCAGCTTGATCCAATATGGGTGTCCAGATGCCACCTACTAGATCAGGCACCACCCAAAATATGCTGCCATGCCCTCCCTTACACACTCTAACCTAATGGTAGAGCACTCACCTGTGATATGGGAGACTCAGCTTTGAATCCCCACTCTTTCTGATTTGGAGCAGGGACTTGAACCCAATTTTCCCATCAGGATACCCTAACTACTAGGCTTTAAAGGAAGATGGGTTGGATTATTTGCATTCTCTCCTGTTGCAGCTGTTCCATTTTGTGTAAGATACTTAAAAATATTCATTGGAGCTGGGCCTGGAATCTGGGTCTCCCATGAGTACCCTAATCACTAAGCCATGGAGTAATTCTGACTTTTTCTGGCCCAATGAATTAGGTAGCGGGGATTTGAGCCCACATCCTGGGTGAGTGCAATAATCACTGAACAAGCAGAAATTTTGTGAGGAAGGGCTGAGGTGGCTTAGGCATCTAAATCTAGGAGAGGGTTCACTCATGTGAATCTCAAGTGGAGGAATGCACCACCTACCTGTCTAGAGTTTAGATACCCCTCTCCTCAGGATTTCCTGCTAGCTAAACTTGCTTTGTTTTATGAACTCCATTCTTAGTCACCTCACTCCCCTTTCATTGTATAAAGAGGCTGATACCTAATTCATCACCGTGCAGTCCATCGGGAAGCAAGGCGCCTACAAGTTAGATGTTGCAAAACTGAAGCTAAAGGCTTAATCAATGCTGGGGGTGGGAGGGATTAGACTGCATTCATTTGACACATTTTATTTAACTGGCAGTAATGGCATACAGACAGAACAGCTGTGTCTGTTGCTGTTCACATCTGTCAGCACCCAGGACACGAGGCATCAGAGCATAGGTGCTGACTCCATGGGTGCTCCGGGGCTGGAGCACCCACGGGGAAAAATTGGTGGGTGCTGTGCACCCACCGGCAGCTTCCCCCCGTTGCCCCAGCTCCACTTCAAAAGTTATTTTTCCTCCCTTGGTATCCTGCTGTTAATTGATTTATCTCGTTAGACTGACCTCCCACTTGGTAAAGCAACCCCCACCCTTTCATGTATTTATACCTGCTCCTGTATTTTTCACTTCATGCATCTGATGAAGTGGGCTCTAGCCCACAAAAGTTTATCCCCAAATAAATTTGTTAGTCTCTAAGGTGCCACAAGGACTTCTCGTTGTTTTTGCTGATACAGACTAACAAGGCTACCACTCTGAATCCTGTCTCTTTTATTTGCAAAGCAGAGCCTTGTAGACCATAGGATCAGCGAGCTCCCTCCAGAGCAGTGGTGGAATTTTGCCATGAACTAAACCATGGATCTGACTATACACAAGGTGCTGTTAACTGCACATTGTAAACAAACAAAATATATTTTGTCTAATTCATTCTGTTTTAGCAATCCCAGCTAATGCCATAAACTCAACCATACTCAACCCACTAAATGTGGAGGGGTGTAATTAGGATAGGCCCCAGTTCCATATTGGCTGCTGTGCAGTTTACTGCAGGAACTCACAACTATTCAACTATAGTCAGTTTTGATACTACTAATGTAGCTGAAACAGATCTTCTTTATCTCTAATATCAATGTCTTCCTGGAAGTTATTGTGAATTCCTGAGTGACCACACTGTACAGTTTGCATAGTAATGTATTACTAGTGCAATCTTCCTCTTAAATATCACTAGGGTATCTCACAGTTCCTAGCTTCAGTAGGCCAAGCACCTCACAACCATCAGGGGCTTTTGCATTCCTCCATTCCCCATATGCCCTAGGTGCAACCCTTATTTCAGGGATTCCCTGCAACTCCCCCCACAACCTCCCTCATGCCAGGGGATCTGTATCTACCATGCCTTCCTCTGCTACATGCCACCTCCTCCCTCCATACCATTGTCCCCCATTCATATCCCTCCATCCCTTGCCACGGGCTCTGTGTGCCTCTCATGCCTCCCTCAGCCACACATAAGGGATTTTCTATGCACCCTCTTCCCTTTTGTCTAGTGCCTTTCTCCCTCCCTATTTTGATTTTTAGAGTGCCAGATTTAAACTTTTAAAATTAAAATACACTAGTCAATTATACTAATTTGCATTTGCTGCCCTGCAGGGATCTGAAATCTTTTTACAAGCAGTAGCCTAGCTGCCTACCAGTGTGGGAGAGGGTCAGACTATTGGTGCTTTTCTTGGTTTATAAATGGAGAAAATGAAGTGTAAACAGGTGAAGTAATTAGCCCAAGCACTCCAAGTCCCTGATTCTGCTCCCCTTGGCAAAACCCACACTGATTTCAGTGGCGCACACAGACCTCAAACCCAAAGACATCCAGTGCCAAAGCTGGGACTAGAACCCAGGCGTCCTGCTTCAACCACTTCTTGACCAGGCTGCCCTTTACCTGCTGATGTCACCCTATGCCCTGGGACGGTAATATTTGCATAGCCCCGCCCCCACCTCGGCATGTCCTGCCTCACAGTGGGTGGTCCTGGCTCTTCCCCCCACAGCTGTGATTGAGTGAGCAGCGCGGAGCATGCGCAGAGCGGGTTCTGGCTTGGGTGGTTGCCTTGGCATCGGGCATAGGAGGAGGGGGATTAGTGCCGCCGACGGCGTGAGGGGAGGCGGCGCGGCCCGTCCGCTGAGCCCCGCCGAGGAGGGAGGTGGCGGCGGCGGCCGAGTAACGGTGTGAAGAGTGAGCGAGGCGCTGAGCTGCTGCGGGGATGAGGGACCGGCTGGCTGAGCTTTTAGCGGTGAGGGGGCTGGCTCAGGGAGCGGGGACCGGGCCGGCGGAGGGGCTGACGGGGGGGAGCGGGCGGAGGGGGTGCTGGAGGGGACAAAAAGCAGCGAGTGAGGGACAGCGTGGGATGGCAGGGGCTCAGTGGGGAGGGCTGGTGGCTCGTTATTTGTATCCTCAGCTAACGGTCAGAGATGGGAACATTCACGGGTCTCTCTGCTAAGATCGCTGAGGCAACGCCCCAGACACGTCCCTGGAGGCAGTGAGATCTCTGAGCTGCTCCAGGCTCCTTTCCAGCTCCTGTCTCTGGGCGGAGGCGGCGGCGGAATATCCACTCCCGAGAGATGGGGAGACGTTTCGAAAGCTTTGGGGCTCCTCGTACAAACTTCAAATCCTGTTTTGTGGGGGGGGATGAAGACCCCCCCGTCCCCAAATGTTAATATTTGAGTGACAGAGAAAATGGGTAATAATTCAAGCACACAACAATTATCTACAGTGAGATAGTAAATGCAAGAGTGAAATGGAGGGCTTTGTTTCTTTTTTCAAGTTATCCGGTTAAGAAATAACATGTCTAAGTCAACTGTATGTTTTGTATATACTTATAAAGTGGTAGTTCAGTATGTTTCTGTATTCTTTTCCTTCCTCTCATTCTTATCCTGAAAAGAAGAGAGGGTGGAGTTTGGGGAGAATGCCTTTTGTTTAATTTCATCAGGATATGGCTTGAACAAAATAAGAATGTTTTGATTATATTTCAAAAGGGGAAAATGGAGAATGCACATCAAATGGAGTCTCTGTAATCGATCAGGGCTCCAGGTATGTACAGGAGTCCACTTATGCAAAGTTGCCTTAAAAATAATATATTATGAAATAGAAAAAACTCAAGTATTGAAATTGTGCTTGTAAATAGAATGAGTAGTCTCTTTCCTCTATTCTCTGTAGGGGTGGGAGGCCTTTTGGAATGCTTATTACAGTATCCTTAACCAGAAAAGACTGTGTGTCAGGGTTGCTATTGTCCTAATGAATAGTGGGGTTTTTTTTGTTTGTTTTTTCAGGCAGCTTTCTTTCTCCTCCAGTCTCTCTCTCTCTCTCCCCCTTTTTTTTTAAACTCTAAACCTCTGTCCTACACATTATATGGGTGAGTGTCAAATTTTAATATAGTGCACACTTTTAGAAGGGAGAGGGGATAAGAAAGCAGCAACAATCTGAATTAGATCTGTGATACTTAGCATATTCAGAGTTCAGTCTGACTGGGAATGGGAGGGGAAGCAACAACGTTGTTTTCATTAAGGACAGAGTTAACTTTGATGTTAATTTAAAAAATGCTATCCATTTGTAAGTAGTTTGTAAGTTAGCATTTAGTAATGCTTAAGACAAAGACACACAAAACAGGTATGGATGCTTGTGTATTTATGACTTTAGAGTAAACACTGTGTAGTAATAAAATACTTCATACTTGCCTTAGTGTAACTAAAATACAGTCTGTAAAATTCATTTTAAAATCCCGAGGTGCTTGTTGTGGATTGACTGCATAAAATTTTTCAGTGTTTCAACACTTATTTTAGTCAGAAGAGCAAAAACCATCGAAACCCAAACGTTCTCATTTAAAAATGTGTAGCTTTGGTTTCTGGGACACATGTAAAACAGAACACATGCTAGATGATATCATGTAGGCTAAATTAATGTGCAAAGAAAACTTGGACAGCGAAGTATCAGAGGGGTAGCCGTGTTAGTCTGAATCTGTAAAAAGCAACAGAGGGTCCTTTACTTGCATCTGAAGAAGTGAGGTTCTTACCCACGAAAGCTTATGCTCCCAATACTTCTGTTAGTCTTAAAGGTGCCACAGGACCCTCAGTTGCTTTGGACAGTAAATTTATCACCCTCTCATCTCCCCAAAAATTCCTTCACTGCAGCATCACAGATGAAGATATTCATTAATATTAGCAAAAACTTTCCATCACTACAGCAGCTTTTTTGTCAGAGTGAATTTGTCAGAGCAGAATTTCTGCTTTTTTCAAGCACAGAAATGATGGATTGTTTTTGTTAAATCTCAACCTGGAGAAATCATGTGAGCTATATGAATGTTGTTACCTATGTTTTAATATAGCTTTATTGCATTTTGATTTAATAAATATTGTAACTGAAGTGTAATGGGATTATATTCTGTAGTTTTTAAACAGTAACCTGCCAAAGCCTGGGGAACCTTCAGGGGTCACGTAGCATTCCAACATTAGGGCAAGGAGTTAGACTGTTTTACACTAAATTGATAATTTGTTTATTTATAAACTCTTTGCCACTGCCCCTCCTCTCCCAGCGTGCTTGATATGCTGTATAAATGACTTAAGATGTCATGGTGTTCTATCCAGTCTATGTTAATACATTTAGTGAAAGTACTTCAACCTCCTTGGGAAAGCTTCTATCCTAGATTCTCTCTAGTTAAATTTGGGACTTCTAATTTTTGGTTGTTCTTTAAATATTACTGAGAGCAAATGTTCTATTTTTTGTCAACTATAATATTAAGTTATTTATGGGGGTCATGGTTTTTTAAATAGATAGTACTTGTTAACCTTATCAAATGAATGTAAGTCTGGTCTCTAGACAAATAAAATTATGTAATTTTTGGATAGGATGGGGACAGTAGCTAAAACAGTTCCTAAAGCGGAACAAATGTGAAAAGAGCAACTGCAACATTCAGATATGAATGTATATAGTTTTCCCTCATTGTATTGAGGAATACCCATTAGTCACACATGTCTTTCAGAGGAAAATGGGCCTGGATGCATTTATTGTTTTTGTGGGGGATTATGTCTTAGATCATAGAATATCAGGGTTGGAAGGGACCTCAGGAGGTCATCTAGTCCAACCCCCTGCTCAAAGGGGGACAAATCCCCAGACAGTGTCTTTTTTTAAACCCCAGATCCCTAAGTGGCACCTTCAAGGACTGAACTTACAACTCTGGGTTTAGCAGGCCAATGCTCGAACCACTGAGCTATCCCTTCCCTCTTCTTATTTCTCTTGTATGGATATTTCCAAATTATTCTTGGCAGTGTTGTAATGTCTGCTCTGTGGATGGTTAAAACTGTGGAAATGATCTCTTTTGCATCCCAGGAAAGAATTGAACTGCACTGGAGCTCAAATCCAAAGCTTTGTGTTAAATATCTTTAACCCTATTCCAACTCAGTCTTGGATTCCTTCTCCCTGCCCCACCAAAGGAATAGTAATATATTTTAGAAATCTTGTATTTTTATAGTCTGTATTCGATTAACAAGCTCAGCATACACATGCACTATAAAGGTTTAAAATCCAACGAGCGTTTAAAAATCTGTTCAATAAAATGAGCAAACCTTTTTCTTTCTATTTAAAAAAGTCATTCTAAAAAGTCTAGATATAAACCTTCTCTTTGTTAAGGAAGCTAAATGTGTAGTGTATTTTTTCTCAATTTGGTGTAAAGCTTACTATCCTATTATCTGTCATGTCTGCTTTGAGCTTTGTTTACATCATGTTAAATGCATCCTGCCATCTGCATAAATTTATCCTGTGTCTTTTTCTTTTATGATGCCTTTGGGAAATAAAGTTCTATTTTTTTATTGTGCTTTATTTTTAAAATATAAAAGGATTGTAACTTGGTGAACAGAACTGAAGATATTGATAGTTTCTTAATACAATGCAGCTTAACATAAAGTACATTTAACTAATGACTTGTGAAATCTGTGTGGAAGTATTTGGTGGGGGGAGAAGAAGAAATTAACCACAAATCCCTGGAATACTGTAGTAATTGGTAGAATTGCAACAGTACAAAGAAAATGCAAAAGCATTCGACTTGCGGACAGGAATCTTTGCTTAGAGAAAATAGTTGGGTGGCTTTCTTTGAATTCAGTTTACTTAGCTCCTTTGTTTAAAAAAATAGAGATTCTGTAGAGATGAGTATTTAAAAACATTGTTAACTATTAGATGAAATCAAAACATACAGATAAACCTATTAAACTGTCTATAGCAGGGGTGGCCAAACTTTTTGGCCCGAGGGCCACATCGGGGTTGCGCAACTGTATGGAGAGCCGAGGAGGGAAGGCTGTGCCTCCCCAAACAGCCTGGCCCCCCTCAGAACGCCCAACCCATCCAACCCCCCCTGCTCCTTGTCCCCTGACCGCCCCCTCCCGGGATCCTCACCCCCTATCCAAACCCCTGTCCCCTGACTGCCCCAACCCCTGTCCACACCCCCGCTCCCTGACAGCCCCCCTGGGACTCCCACCCCCGGCCAACCGCCCTCTACTCCTTGTCCCCTGACCAGCCCCTCCCAGGACCCCCCTTGAATAAAAGACTTGGCAATTTTTCAATGTAAATAGGTCTCTGTGTACACTTTAACATCACATATTTTAAGGCATTTCCAGTCTGTGCATGTTGATTGATGTCTGGATCAGGGCTATTTGGACAATCTGCCTCTCGAAGTGTTTCATGTGGGGTGGTTGAAGAAATGCTTTAATATCAATTTCTGCCTGCAATTTTTAACAATAATAATGAAAACTTAGAGTTGAGAAATCAAGTATAAATATTAAAAGTATATTTTACAGTCTTACATTAAGATACATATTATACGTAGTAGTGTAAGTAATTACGTGTAGAAAATGTTATATATGTTAACAGAAGTTTATTTAGGTTGCAAAGTCAGGCACTTGACAGATAGGAAGTGCCAGATTTATGGTTGCCTGTGCAACCTCATTTCTGCCCCCTTGTGTGCTCATCCTATGTACTGACATAGGCAGGGGTGTTATGATAAAAATAGTTTGTGTTCATGTAATGACTAGCCTGTATATTGCACAAGGTTGTTGAATTAAGGTTGGATGGGCAACCACAAATCTAGCACTTTAAATCTTTCTAGTGTTTGATTTTTGCCACCTAAATAGCATTCTTTCTAATGTAGGTTTTTTGTATGCAGCTTCCCTTTTTAAAGGGCGAAAAGTTTTTTTTAAAAATTGCATATACGATAGAACTTTGTATTGTAGCTCCTGGCCCATATGGTGCCACGGAAGGTTAGGGAGAATGGGAGACTGTGGCCTTGTGACTGACAGCGAGGAAACCTAGTTTGTCTCTCTTCTCTCTCTCCTCTCCCTTTCCCAGCTTATAGTTATTCCAGGAGCTCCCAGGTGATTCTGTGCTTATTTTCCTGCCATTCATCTCTCTGAGATAAAGCAGTTCCTATATGGTAAAGGTTCATATTTGGAATTAAACTGTGTATGAAACAATTCATGCTAATTTATTTAAACATACACCTCTACCCCGATATAATGCGACCCTATATAAGACGAATTTGGCTATAATGCAGTAAAGCAGTGCTCCGGGGGGGCAGAGTTGCGCACTCCGGCAGATCAAAGCAAGTTTGATATAATGCGGTTTCACCTATAACGCGGTAAGATTTTTTTGGCTCCCGAGGACAGCAGTCTATCGCGGTAGAGGTGTAGTTTGAACCAATTCACTCTGTCCAAAGTGCTTAACTTGCACTAGTCTGAACCAGCCTTAAACCATGTGTGTGGTGATGTTTTTAAGGTTCTAAAATAAAGATTCAGTAAACGGGTCCTAGCCCAGTGTAAAAAGGGCCAAAAGCCTCGAGTATTTTTAATGGGAGCAGTGGATCTAGGATAAATAGACAGAGGACATCATTATCCACTATTGTCAAGCTGGAATCTTACGGGAGTGCTTTATTAATGCACAGCTCTCTTAAAGAAGAGATAATTAAAAGTGAACGTGAGTAATTGATGTGGACACAGTGGCAAAATGAGAACACACACATGCATGCAAGTAAGCACTAGGCCGCAACTTTTATTAAACTTTAACGCTGGGGAGGGGTTGCTACCTGCCATCTCCCATACTCCTGTACTAGGCATTTAATTGGTTACAGGGCTCTTTACCATAAAACCCATAACTAGCATCAGGGTTACAAGGCTCTTTATCATATAATCCATAACTTGGGTTAGTCTCCTCAGAGTATCCACCAGTACACAGCTCTCTCTGAGGCCTTCTCCCGCTGCAAGGGAGAAATTTCAGATTTAAATATCAAACTTTGAAATTTACTATTTTAAAAATCCTCTGACCTTGAATTTGACCAAAATGGACCGTGAATTTGGTAGCTATAACACAGTTGTTAATAAATTAGCTTAATTGCAACCTAACTTCAGCTATAGCCTTTGCACAAGATTTTAATGAGTCTTAACTAAATGGAAAGTTTAAAGATTGTGTATTCCATTATTAAGATCCTAAATTTCTTAGATGATCCAGTTTTAACACACACACTAAACAAACAGGCTCTTTTATAAATGTTCAGAAAATTCATTTTATATTCAATAAATTTGAGGAGAATATGCTGTGTTTTTCATACTAACAGGTTGAATCCTTGCCTCAAAGCATTGTGGAGGGAGGATAACAAAAACTGTAAGTTTCTGCTCATTTTAATTTGGACGTTATAGCTTCCCTTGAACGTGGTAATTGGATTGCTTATGATGCTAGCATAGGCATTGGGCTCAGGCAGCTTCTCAGAATTTGTGGGGAGAAAGAACCATAGAAGAAATACAAATATTAACTTTCATTTATCATTTGTGACACGATTACAGTAAAAGATTTGTTATCCGGCATGTTGGGGGAACAGGGGGTGCCAGTTAGTCAAAAATTCTGGTTAACTAACAGTTATACTTACCAATGGAATACCAATTTTCAAAGAATTAGAATACAATAAAATGAATAAACTATAAAATAGTATACAACTAATCACCAATCCAGTAGAAGTACTGCACTGCAGAGTGATTGGTTTCTTGAAGCACTTAGGTGTACTGTATACAAGTAAAGTTTTCTATAGAGTAGGTTATCTTATGACACTACATATTACTATGGGCAGCGCATGGAGTACATCCAGATCACTAAAAATACACATCACTAAAACTATACTGAACATAATTTAATCTTTCTTTTATGATTCAGAAGGCACTTCAGGATCTTGCAGTGCCTCAGGGTCATCATTATCAACATCAATTATCATTGTAGATGTAGGAGATAGGGCTGAATCTGAAATGACCCTATGACACAACCTGGAAACTGCTTTTTTGAATAAATCCCTGATAGCAGCTTGCTTGTCTTCTGCCTCTTTTGCATAAAAGTAGAGTGCAGAATGTGCAATTGCATAACCTAAGAAATATACTAGTCCCGATTACTAGATTGAAGATTTGTATTGGGAAATATCAGAAATGCCAGTTAATAGAGTTTTCTGGTAACACAAATAACACAGCTTTAACGGTAATATTTTAGCCCTTATATTGAATAAGATACTTATTTAACATACGTGATAAAGCAGTGATGGAAAGATATAGTAGATCTTGTCATCAGTGGGTGTAGGCCTCATTGGACAGGGTGGTGTAATGTTAAAATTGCTTTTATAGAAAATTTTATAATACACTAACAGCCTTGGATGGGCACAACGAACACATCCGAATCATTGTAGGATGTCAGTTCTGAATGAAGCACCCAAGAACTAAAGGTAGTAAGCAGAGGCTGACACCATTTTCTTCTATTGGCTAAGGCGGAGGTGGGCATGTGGCCCGTGCCTCCCCAAACAGCCTGGCCCCACCCCCTATCCACTCCCCCCCCACTTTCTCCCCCCCCAACTGCCCCTCTAAGAACATCCAACCCCCCCGTTCCTTGTCCCCTGACTACCCGCTCCCGGGACCCTCCACCCCTAACTGCCTCCCTGGGACCCCACCCCCTATATAACGCCCCCTGCTCCCTCTCCCCCGAGTGCCCCAATCCCTATTCACACCCCTGCCCCCTGACAGGCCCCCCGGGACTCCCATGACTATCTAACCACCCCGGTTCCCTATTCCCTGACTGCCCCCCCCCGAACCTCCGCCCCATCCAGCTGCTCCCTGTCCCCTGGCTGCCCTGACCCCTATCCACACCCTGTCCCTCTGACAGGACCCCTGGGACTCCCACGGCTATCCAGCCGCCCCTGTTCCCTGTTCCCTGACTGCCCCCCTGGGATCCCCTGTCCCTTATCCAACCCCCCGCCCCCTTACCATGCCACTCAGAGCACCGGGACTGGCAGCCGTAAGTAGTACACAGTTAGTAGCACATTCCTACAGGGAGAAATTTAATACACTACACCTGCCCTCCATACAGTTTCGGAACCCCGATGTGGCCCTCAGGCCAAAAAGTTTACCCACCCCTGGGCTAAGATGTTCTTGGCTTGGACAGAGATTTGGTTGACTAGTTTATGGAGAAGGCAGTTGCATCATTTTTGGCACATGCTTTTGTGAGATAGTTGACACCCCCTCATGTCTGGAAATTAGTGAAGTAGGCTGTTATCCTACCTGATGTGAATGGCCTTGTCAGGTAAAAATATCTTCAGTGCTTATGTCAGTCCATTAGTATCTTTGTAAAATGTGGGTTATGATACAGAAACTGCAACTTTTGGTGTGTGGTTTTGTTTTGATGGTGGTGGTGGTTCTGAATCATAACCTACTGTGGATTTTACAGACTTTTTCTTTTTGGTCTGAGGTATTTTGTGTAAAGGGAAAACGTACTCTTGCTTTTGAAATTTTGTAGTGGTCAGATGTGGTTTTCCCCAATGTGTCTGCTTGTTTCTTTTAGATTACGAGCCTCTTTTTAGCAGAAACTTTGCTCTTACGTGTTTGAAAAGCACTTAGCACATAATGGGTGATACTACACATAAATACATAAGAACATGGAAGAATCCTATTAGATAGGACAATAAATTTGACAGTAGTGCATAGTGGATTCTTATGATATATCTTTTAGTGCTTTGCTTTGTCTGTTTACAAATATCTCAAGCAGTCAGGATTTTGCTAATTCCTATGGGAGACTCTTTCATAGTTTTATAATTATCATTAGGATTTTTTCCTTACTAAACTTTACTTGATTTCATCCTATTACTCTTAGTTTTAATCCATTGTACTATCTACGTTTCCTGGGTGTTTTCAACTTTCAGATATAATATCTGAGGAGTTGTCATTTTTTCCCTATCACCAGTTGGCTGTCTCATACATATTTAAGGTGTAATATTTTAAGAAGTCAAATGATAGACTTTGGCCCAAATCCTGCAAACATTTATGCATATGCTAAACTACTACTGTGAATAGTCTCATTGAAAACAGTAAAGTTAAGCATGTATGTAAATGTTTGCAGGTTTGGGCCATAGTAACATTTTCCCAGTGACTTCTAACTTTTTTGGAATGTTTTCTGTTGAGAAAAGGGAAAAAAGAAAAATATTACTACAAAATAAAATATTTGATTTTTATATTATGATTTTAACCTGTACATTAAGAATTGTTTAATTGGGAAAATATATTGCATTGTAACTATGAGAGAGCTTTTGATGTATAACTATTTCCCCAATGTGTCTGTGTTGCAGCAAAAGCTGTTGTTTCTACTTGCTCATGAATCATAAGTATGGCAGAGGAAACATTAGCTTATGTTGCTGAATTTTTGCCTGGGGGGGGAAAAACACCTTTTTTGTGAGCATTCGTAAATGTTGACTGCTATGCTGAAGATTTCAAATGGAAAGTGTAAATGGAAAGAGGGTAAAGCAGTAGTACTTAGACATAACTTTGTTGCTATGCCTATTTAACTAGAAGTAATTAGTTGCTTAATTCTGCTTCAGAACACATCCCTATGCTTCATTTCGTAGGCATGCTCAAATTAAATAACTTTTTTTGTTTTACAGGGTAAAAAAGATGAAGATGGAGAGACAACTGTTGTTGTTGAAAAAGATTATTTTATGGATGATTTCTTCCAGCAGGTAAAATGAAACAAGGAGCAGATAATTTTTCCAACACTTATCAGTTTAAAATGTGTGTCTTGGTAATGGTTTTTCTCTTAACTCTTGATTTGTATATTTATTAATCAACTTTTTAAAAAAGCTTTTAATACCATATTCTGTAAATTATTCCTGTTTCCTTATGATTCGAAATAAACGAAGCCTTATCTTTTGTTATATCAACCAGCTTTGTCAGGGAAAAGTTGAGGCATCATGATATAAAGAAAATGTGGATTATATAAAAATAATACTGCAGAAATTATAGTGTGTAACCATGATGGCTAAAATCACTATACAAAAACAAACACATAGCAACACTGAAAGTACTATTTGCCAATATATTGCAGGACTTCCTACTAAAATGTCTCTTGCACAACTTCCCTCTAGGAATGTAAAGTAGAAACATAGCTATGATCTCATCAGACTTGCTTTAACGTATGGTGTCGAACACATATACCTAGCATGTTCTTCTGGTAGATCATGTAACTGAGAGAAGCTTTGCATTGTTACAGATGAATGGAAGCTCTCATGTGGTAGTTAGGTATTTGATTTATTTTAAGAAGCGCTGCTCAGTGCTAAAGCAAAAAGGTTGTAGTAAAATTGTGAACAGATACTACAGAGCAAGAGACTTTTTCAGCAAGAAAATCTTATGTATTTTCAGGATTATGTTTTAATCATGTTCAAAGAATTTGCTTTTTTAAGTCGTCTGTGTTCAGTATTCTCACAAATTTTACTTAATGCTCAGGAACTCATTCTTTGTATGAAAAACTTAGAATTATCATTTTCCATATTCTGAAAGGACTGAGCTATGTGTTCAAGCAGTAAAATGAATTTTGAGTTTTGCATCCAGAAGACATCGTAGTCAAGAATATCAGTGCAGATTATTCATCGGTGGCACCTAGCCACCTCTTTTTCAGCAGTAGCTGATTAAAGCGCCTTCTTATATATCTGAAAATCTTCTAGACGTTTAATTGAAGAAGCCCATTGAGTATGACCAGGCTCACTCAGTGTGGATGAAATTGAGTGCTGCACTAAATGATGCTGAAAAATGGCTGCTGGTACTTGGTTGTTTTTGTTTTTTGTTTTTAAAAAAAACTTGACAATGCTTTTCACTTTTGACACATGATGAGAAAGTTGTCAGATCTTCAACATCACCAGAGGAAAAAGTGCATCGTATGCACAGCACATCATAACACAGAAGGTGTGGACACTCTTTTATCAACAAAGCTGAAGTAGCTTTAATATTAGCTGCACTGTCGGTCACAACTGAAATAACCTTCAGTGGACCCAATTAATTGATTATATTTTTTAAATGGTCAGCACAATATTGGGTTGTTGCTCAGTGGTGATGTTCGGTTGTGCAATGGAATGAGTAAACCACTGGTTGTGGAGTTATCATTAGCTGATGGCACCCTCATTGAGTATTGCTCCATTCAGCAGATGCTAGCGACACATGAGGATCTTGTGCAGTAAGAACACCAGCTCTTCTTCACGTAATCTATTTTGGCATTCAGAAGACTTCCTGCAAACTGTTTCCTATTTAGTAGTTTATAAATTGGGCACAGTTTTTTAACAAATTCTAAGATGTAAGGATTTTAGACTATATAAAACGGTGTATTGCTGTCATGAATACCTCTAGCAAATGTACAATTAAGTTCACTCTTCTGGTTGTGGGATTGTCTATCCAAAAACCTTCTAATACCAATATAATGAACATACGAAAACTTTCTAGGAGTAGGAATTTGATATTGAAACAGTTGGAGTAGTAAAGTTCTTTTTAGAAGATGAAGAAATGGAATTAGTATCACTTTTATTGTCAGTGAGATCACTATGGTCGTCAAAAGACTCCATGCTTCATGATGCTGCTGAAGATGAAGTCGAAGGAGAATGCACACAAGAGAAGAAATTTGATGCAGACCAATTTTCCCTTTTTCTCTTTGACTTCAATAATCTGTCTTTGACCGTAGCTGAACACATAATTCAAAAAGTATTTCTACATGTGCCATATACTAAGAACAGAATTTGAACTTGACTTAACAGTTTCTCCATGTTCATATTTAGTAAAAAAAAATTTCCATACAAATTATTTTGGTTTTTCCTGACTCTGAATAATTTATTATGTCACTGTTATTAATGTCTTACTACTTCTGACATGCTGTCTAGATTATGAAGTATCTCTTGTATTTTAGTCAGCCAGTAGCCATTCCGTTCTATTTCTAACTGCTGCTGTTTCAGAAGATTTCAACCAATCAAAATGTTTTCAGGCATGCTGCCCCCTTCCTCCCAAGAGCCTTACAGATTTCCAGATCTCACTGGAGGGGAGGGGGCAGGTGGCACCTCCTCCCTGCAGCAAACACAGTGGGCTCAAGCAGCAGCAGGGAGATTAGAAGGAACTGAGCGGGAAGGGGAGGGACATCTACAGAGATGTGATGACATATATCACTTATTAGCATAGAACTTTTCATATTATCAGCAAGCTTTGGTTGGGGATGTGGGGGTTAGGGAAGGGGACCATTGTTGAGGGGGAGGAATGGGGGGGGTTAATTTACATGAGCATTTAATGTGGGTTGTTTGCTTTGTTGAGGGTGGGGGCGTGTTTGGGATTTAATAGCTGTGATACTTTTGTTTGTTAAGGAAGAGGCTTACTGGCTGTGTTCCTCTTCTCTTTGGGGGAGGAGAGATATAATGATCGTGAACCCTCTTCTGTCTTCCCCTCCACTCCCATTTAAGTTAATTTGTGTGTATTATCTAGTCAGTTTAGATTGTAAACTCTTTGGGGGCAAGAGCAGAGTCTTTTAACTTGTTGAATGTGCTTTGGAAACCACCATATACATTGATTGCCTGGTATACGAATAAAGTTATACAGTGTTTGTTCTAGAAAACTCCAGCCAGTCAAGATGCTCAACTTTCATTTAGTTCACCTTATGACACTGCACCCCACATTCTTCATAATGATATTATGATGTGATTATGGCATCATTATGATGCATTTTATACAAGATGGGGCATGTAAGGTGTCATTGGAAAAGTTATGATTTGCTGAATATCATTATCCTATTTGTATGCACGTATCATTTTGTATCTGAATTTATTAATATTGACTATGTATTTGTATTTCACATGTAGTCACACCGGGGTGACACCCACTAGGCAAGCTCTTAAACACCTTTAAGTGTTTCCCTCTATAAGGATGGGTTTGTTTAAAACATGGTTAAGGATATGATTGAGTGCTTATCTGAATAGGAAAGATTTTCTGAACTGGTGTCTCAAACAGTTCCTCAGGTTAAGTCAACTCACCACTAAGTCCTTGAGGTCCCCATGACTTTAATGTACACTGTAAAAGAGAGAGCTTTGAAATAGTCTATTCACAATACAAAAAATCCAACCCAAAATACATAAGTCAAATTTGTTTGGTAGAAACTTCAAAGTAACTTCCTTTACTATATCTTGCCTTCAGTTTCAGGGATGTAGGAATTTTCATGCTGGAAGTGACAAAGTATATCATTTTAAGCAATTACTAATGCCAGATGCTTCAGAGGAATAACAACCTCCATAATGCACTTCTTTGTGTGTGTGTGGGGGGGGGTTGGAAAGATTCTTCCTGACCCTGCCTACTGATCTTAATGTTAAGCATGTTTTTTAAACCTTAAATTTTTTATATTATCTGTGTTAAAATACTGACAAAATCTGGTATATATTTGAAAAAAGGGATTTCCCTTCCCCATATTGGGAAACCATAATTGGATGTACCCTCAGTCTGGGAAAGACACAAACCATGACTCATTGCTCCTTAGATGTAGAAGGTTCTTTGCATTTTCTCATGTTATGCATTGTTGGCCCATCAGCATTTGTCCCTGGTATTCAAATCTGAATAACTTTGGTTTGTATTGTAAGAATCTACAATACTGATATTTTTCTTTTGACCTCTTTATGGTATGGTATTTTCCTATTTTTGACAATCCTAATGACTAGTTATCCTTTCACTCCAGAAATTCTTAGAATCAAAGATGCATTTCTTTTTCCTAATCTGTTGGTAGCAAATTTTTTCTAGCATTTTCATTGCCACATTTTTCTTTCCCTGTAGGTTGAGGAACTCAGAAACAATATAGCTAAAATAGCACAAAATGTGGAAGAAGTTAAGAAGAAACACAGCATTATCTTGTCTGCACCAAATCCTGAAGGCAGTAAGTATTTTACTTTTTTAGATATTTAATATGTATGGATAGTTATCCTGAATGAATACTCTTTATGGGTATACAGCCATATTCATTGAGAATAGAACTTTTAAGTAGGAGGTGGATGTTGCAAAATTTATGAAATGTACATTTTTTACGACTCAGATATAAAATAAATTGAAATTACCCATTTCAGCTTTAAGATCCCATTTGAAAAAGGGAATGTCTTCAAAACATTGTTTCCATAATTCTCCAAGAAGCCAGTCTAAAACTTAACCTAATCCATTTCTAAAAGCAGTAACTCAAAGACATTTCTTTTCTGTCTGAAAGTGCCTCACATCTCAAGTCAAGGACACATTGATGGAACTGTGAGACTGATACTCCTTCCTCCATTTTCCAACAATGAGAACCTACTGTCCCACTCAAGGTGCTTTACTGGTCTTCAGTAATGGTGAAGTCCCAGATCAGGAGCACCAACTTGGGAAGTAGTAGCCCTCAGCTTAGAGACAAAGGTGCACTTTCAGAACAAAGAACTTTGTCTCCAGTGAAAGCTGCCCACCACCTTGACCTCATCTATCAAAGGAAGACATTTACCAGATATATTGAAGGTGGGCCATAGGGAAAGAGACATTTGTGATGCTGAGAGCAAAACAAACCACAGAATAAAAAGTAAATATAAGTATTCATTATATAGAGGATATCAAGACTACTAAAATTATGTTTTTGAGTGAGTAGAAGAGTTTCTAAGCTGATTTATTTCCATTCGCTAGAAGGCTTTTTCTACAACTGGTATTCTGTTCTAAATTTTCTTTTGGTCAGAGTTCCGTTTTCCCCCTTCATTTGTTTTTAAATGAATTAGTATCAATTCATGATTGGGGGGGGGGGGGGGGAAGGGTTTTTTTTAAACATGGAATTGTTTTTTTTAAGTATTTTTTTTTTTTTTTAATTTAAACTAGATGGGGAAGGGCTCTGTTCACATCATAGCATGTAATGAGTCTTCAAAACTGATTGCTGCTAAATAACTGTTTAAACCTCATCATATTGGTTGTCTAAGAAGTAACTAATCACGATGATATTTACTCCATTGTTCTGGAACCAGTACAAACACTTAGCTTAGAGGCAGTTCTTGCCCCCAAAGAACTTGAACTCTAATTTAAGATGAGTCAACAAATGGGTTTGAACAAACTGTTGGAGTATTTGGAGGCAGGAGGATGCAGGAAACAGTGATAGGTGCACATAATTACATAAACTGGCAATGTACATGGTTGGCAGGCTTCGAGATAAAGACTTTTTAGAAGATATGTAAATAAGATGGGCACAGTTCTTGGATCATACTGAGCTGTATTTGACATAAGAATCAAGTTGGGGAATGGGTGCAAATCTACATTTAAGAGGTGGCAGGGGCCTGAATTAACTCCAGGTTGAATTTAGAACAGTCCCACGGTTGCTCTAAGTTGCACCCAGCTGCATTGTCCCCCTTGATGGCCATTCTGGCAGCTGGGGATCATTGAAGCACTCTGGCCACACTCCTTATCCCAATGGCTGTAGGGGTGGTGTAGGGTTGGATATACCACTCAAGGATTTGCTCTATACTGGCGGAATCCTTAGCTGGCCTCTTAGACCAGCTTTACAGCCCCTTTGCACTGTCAGTAGCCCAAATGGGTCCTACTGGACCTGAGAATCGGCCCAAAATATTCATATTGGTAATCCCTATCTTAAATTTGTTTTGAAGCTTCCTTCAGTAAAGTTTGTAACACTCTTTTTAATGGACGAAAGGATCAGGGATACATAATTTCAGTATCGCTGCCTACATGCATGTTTTGCATTTGTAGTCGTGTACACAAACTACTTTACAGTAGTGAAGAATTACTGTTTTGCCCATTTGTGAATCCTTAATCTTTGAAAACTTTCAGTTTTCAACCTGAATATTTACAATAACATCTGTGTATTTATTGCAAAGAAAATTATACCGCATAAGACACTGCTTTCATTTGAATGGTACTGGTAACATTTACTTTCACTCAATGTTTCTCTCATACACTTACTGCAATTAGTGAAGTGTTATTAATAGCTAGATACTGTTTTTACATTCAGGAGTCAATGTGCGGTCATTGGTGAGAAATAGCCTTTATAATATAAAATTGCCTTCAAAATCAGTGGAAGATGCTGACATAGAGCAAGCATTGAGAAACTAGTTAACTGTAATATTGCATATTTTTTAAAAAGTTGCTTAGTTACAACACAGTTGCCTAAAACATCACTTGTATGCATTCTAGATTTAAAAAAATACAAACACACTTTTCACCGCTTTTTGCAAGTTCAGCATTATTGACCAGAGTTTCCAAAGTGCCTAAGTGACTTAGCACAAGTCCTGCTAACTTTCAGTGGGGCTTGTGCTCTCAAGTAATTTAGGCTTCTTTGGAAATCTCACCCTTTAATGTCTCTAATGGTATTATTCATAAGCTAATTATAGCTGTCTGTGCCAAGATTCACTGTAGAGGCTTAGCTAAATCTCTCCTTATTAGACTGTATACAGTATTCTCTAGTGAAAAATGGGCAGTGCCTGGTACAGTGATGTGATCAGGGGCAAAACAATGAATCAGTGATAGACAGAAGTATAGAATGCACTATTTATAAGGAAAAAAACTATTTGAAAATTTCCCTTGATTAAAAACTCAGTGCACTTTAAGTTGTTGAACGTTAAATTTGGACCAAAAAGTAAATCCTACTTTTTAAAAAAAAAAAAAAATTTTTTTTTTTTTTTTTTAAAAGTAACCTTCTTAATGAACTAGGTTTGAATTGCTGTGACTTGATTTGGTTAGTGAGTTTATTTGTAAAGTATCCCAAGCTTAAAGACCTGCCATGACAAACATAAACATAAAAAACACTAACCTGCTCCTAATGTGAAATCACATAGGCCCTTTAAACATAATGAAACTTACAAGAAGGACTTTGAATTTGGACATCCAGGATCCTTCCTTGTGTGCCTTCCATTGAATCTCAATCCTGTGACATTACAAGTTTGAGCATACATAGCTCTCAGCTTTCTTAGTTATAAAATTACTATTTGACTTATCAGTCTCATTTAAACAAAATTTATCTAAATGTTTATCAACAATACAATTTATTTCTATTATTTGTTTGCCTTGTTGAAATAATTTTAGCTAAGATTATTTTCCCATTTGTCAGCACAAGCAACATTATATGAGAACTCATAATATCCTTACTCCTATGTGGACATTAGTAGATTTAACCTCCTATTAATTTAATTTTGCCATAACATTAGTATTTTGTTTAATTGATGTATGCACTAGTCTTGTGTCACACCCAAGGAATCTCTGCTTTTCTGTGTCTGCCTATGCTAACTGAACTTACTGTGTATGTGCAGATTCGCAAAGGGTTTGTGTTTCCCTTTGATTTTTCCCACAAACTGGTGGCTACCAGCAGCAGTGAATTTGCACAAATGCTGGCCAAAAAAGAATTTAAGAGCAGCTAGCAAAAGAATCAAAACCTAACAGTAACAATTATTTAAGTACATTAAAAATAGGAAGCGGCCAAATAATAAGTGGGGCCACTGGACGATTGAAGTGCTAAAGGAGCACTCAAAGAAGATAAGCCCATTGCAGAGAAGCTAAATGAGTTCTTTGCATCAATGTTCACTGCAGAGGATGTGAGGGAGATTCCCACACCTGAACCATTCTTTTTAGGTGAAAATCTGAGGAACTGCCCCAGATTGAGGTGTCAGTAGAGAAGGTTTTGGAACAAATTAATAAATTAAACAGTAATAAGTCACCAGGACCAGATGGTATTCATCAAAGAGTATTGAAGGAACTCGCATATGAAATTGCAGAACTACTAACTGGTATGTAACCTATCGCTTAAATCAGCTTCTGTACCAGATGACTGCAAGATAGCTAATGTGACAAGCAATTTTTTAAAAAGGCTCTAGAGGCAATCTGGGTAATTACAGTCTGGTAAACCTAATTTGAGGAGCAGGCAAATTAGTTGAAACTATAGTAAAGAACAGAATTATCAGATACATAGATGAACATGATTTGATGGGTAAGAGGCAACACGGCTTTTGTAAAGGGAAATCGTGCCTCACCAATCTGTTAACAAACATGTGGACAGGGTGGTCCAGTAGATATAGTGTACTTGGACTTTCAGAAAGCCTTTGACAAGGTTCCTCACCAAAGGCTCTTAAGCAGAGTAAACAGTCATGGGATAAGAGGGAAGGTCCTCTCATGTATCCGTAACCAGTTAAAAGACAGAAACAAAGGGTAGGAATAAATGGTCAGTTTCAGAATGGAGAGCAATAAATAGAGGTGTGTCCCCCAGAGATCTGTTCTGTGACCAGTGCTGTTCAACATATTCATAAATGATCTGGATAAAGGGACTATGAAGCTTTAATCTTTGCAGTTTTCTTCTATTACAGGCACACAAATTAGTCTACTACCCTCTTGCATATCTAACAGAATGATAAACAAGAAAATAGGAGTGAATGTCAGCATTAAGTAAACATGATTAAATTGATATGAGCAGTGGAAGGAAGCTGAGATACAATAGTGATGAACTCCACATAAATTATATAATCGTCTCTCTTATAGAGCTTATTACTTGAGGATCTCAAAGAACTTAATAAAGGAAAACAAAGTTCTATTTTACAGCTAGGAAAACAAAGCCACAGGGAGATGGGGGAGTGAATTGCTCATGTTCATGTAGCAGAGTGGCAAAGTCAGGCATAGAACACAGATCTCTTGTCTCCCTGTCCATTGCTTTATGCACAGGACTAAGCAGCTGGCATGGTTTCATGTTCTTTTAAAATGATACAATTTTTAGTGAATTCATGCACCGCGCTTTCTCACTAACTTTATTTTACCCAGGTAACTGGAGAGTTAATCAATTTATTGAGATGCATATACATGCTGAAAAGGGGTATTTACATTTTGGGTGCCCTCAACGTAACTTAAAATACACCACAAATACCCTAACTATAGAATAAAATTTAATATAATCCACTACAAGTAAGCCAGGTAATTTAAAGATTCGGGCTGCCCACCCCCTCCAACAATCCTCCACCTGTTTGGTTTTCATCCTTTAATGCTTGTAGTCAATGTTAGGTTGTAAGGTTCTAGAGAAGATAGTTTGGATACCTTCCAAAAGGTATACTTACTTGTCAGTACTGCTTAGAATCAATCACTAATTATTCTAAAAACTATGTTTCACATTCCTTTAAAAAAAGGAACAAAGGAAGAACTCGAGGACCTGAACAAAGAAATCAAGAAAATTGCTAATAAAACTCAAGCTAAGTTAAAGGGTAAGTACAAAAAACCCCCCATGATTTAAATATTATATAGAGCCTTTTATATGTATCTCCAGAACTTTGGAATTTGCCCCTCAATATAATGGTGTCAATATATGTATATACAAATTTGGTTTTCATAGTATCATAGATGTTCCAAACTTTAAGAAAATATAATACACTGTATATATTACAGAAAATCTTGGAACTCAAAATGTTAAAATTAGTTTCACTTATTGTATCAGAAATAATCAAGATATGCTCCTTTATCAGATGAAAGGAAAGAATTGTAGATTAAAAATATTTGCACTGTGTAATGTATTTAATCAACAATTTAAAAATAAGTGGCCATATGTTCAGATGGTACAAACTGACTGGAGCTATGCTAAATTACCCCAGCTGAGAATCTGGCCCAAAATTCATATATCTGCTCCTGAGTACTTTTGAAAATCAGGCCCCTTATTTAGGCAACTGAATAAGTATTTAGGAGTCTTAATTGTTCACCATATGTCAACTCAAACATAACTATGTTGTTTTTTTCTAGTGCCACTAGATTACATTCAGGTCACTTTTCTTCAGTGATAGATTTCTAGGTTTAAGAGTAATATTTAATAAAATTCCTCTGTCCAGCAAACAACATTTATTATTCAAATTGTAGTAGCAACCCCAATTTGTTAGGCTCCTTCCTTCCAAGCACAAAAGATGACATAATACCCATGAACAAACAGATACTTTTAAAATTTTGTTTTTAATTTGACTGTGTAAACAGTTATAGAATGCAAGGTTAAGAATATATCATTAATAGGTTTTCTTTTTATTATGTGGTGAAACTCTTTTTTAAATAGAAACTACCTTTTTGGGGGTAGGAAAAAGGAAAACAATACTAATTGTGATTTATAAAATAGTAAATGTTTGTTAAAACTTTTACTATATGTTGCATTCTTAACACCTTACAGTATGAATTCTTATATTCTTCCTAGCTATTGAACAAAGTTTTGATCAAGATGGGAATGCTAATCGAACATCAGTTGACCTCAGGATACAAAAAACACAGGTATGATCATCAAGTATGCACGAGGAAATCTGAGGATTTTAACAAAATCAACTAAGCTCCAGAAGAGACACAATATTGTGGGGTGGGGAAAGGGAATATTGCTGGAGCGTACATACTATTTTATACTTGGGGGGGGGGGGGCAAGTGCATTTTGTTGTAAAATAATGTACTATATATTTTTACTCCTCAAAACTAGCACTCGGTATTGTCCTGGAAGCTTGTGGAGGTCATGACAGAATACAATACGACCCAGACCCGATTTCGAGAACGCAGCAAAGGACGGATACAGCGACAGTTAGAAATAAGTAAGTGATCTGAATTTTCTTCTGATCTAGGTGGCTGAATTAACTTTTTTAATGGTCTTTGTTTGTTTGTTTTTTATTGACATCTTTTTGTTGCTTTGGTTTATACAGAATTGAAATAGTACCCCCAGTCTTCTAGTTTTATTTTCCTCTATTCAAGTTCTTATTTTGTACCACCAGACAAGGTTTTTTTTCAATAAAATGGCAATGTAGTCCTGCATACTTCTCTGTAGCTGCTCCTTTGGAACTTAACTCTTTAGATGAAAACACAAATAAGCTTCTACTTGTTTGTTTTATGTTACAATTTAACCAGCTATTTATATTATGTGTAACTGTCTAATAGATTCTGATATGGAAGAACTGATCATTCTTCAGGTTAAGGTTAGTTTAAACATTGATTTTGTTCTCAGTAGATACTTCTAGACATCATTGTTCTTTTACTAAAGTTACCTTCATGGTTTCTGAATATACAGTCAAATCAGTGGCAAAAATCCCATTGACTTCAATGAGCCAGAATTTCACTCACTGTAGTGTTGCCAGATTATTACCCAGAAAGATTGTCGACCTGTGCTGTTGAATGTTCTTATACCTCTCCTGCTTCTTAGAATTGTAGCCTGTATTGTACAGCTATACTGAAAGAAGGATAGGAGACACTTGATATGGTTTTAATCAGGCCGCAACTTTATTATTAGATGTCGGGGACAACCGGGCAGATAAGTGTACAGTGCAGGAAACTTCATGTTCATTCAATATCTACCTGGCGGGCTGGTGCCAGCCCCCCTCTTTTTTCCATCCAGGTCCACCAGCCAACCCATTCCTGGGACTTTACTATTCCCCCCACTCTCAAACAAGGATTAAGGTGGCCTATAAGAAAGGGGAGTTGGCTCCCTGCCATACCAGTCATAGGAGCCCCGATTTCCCTTTACCCCCCCAATTCCATTCCTTTAACCAACACCTCCCTTTTTAAGTCCTTTACCAAGCCATTTATCCGGTCACTGTATACCTTCCCTCTGGAGTACTAGCCCTGGACATCCACCTCCACTTGCATAATGAGTTGTGACATAATAGCCTAACACCCTTCCTTCCTCACCATAACAAAGCCCTCCCTGAACCTGCTGCGGGGAAGGTGGAAACCCCCCCCCACTTCACCTAGGCCAATCTGGTGGTGAGGGAAAAATTCCTTCCCAGCCCCCCTAGAAAGGAGTGGCTAGTGCGATGCCCACAGGAGGTCCTGACCGAACCTGGTATTTTGCCACCTCAGTGGGAAGAAGGGTGAGTGGTGCTCTGCCTGGTCTGGGGAAAAGACTTCCTCCGCCAGGCTTGCCCCTTTTGAATTCCCCAGCCTTTCCAGTCCCTGGGTATGTCAGTTTTTTGCCAAGCTGACTCTCACTCCCCCTTTTGCAGCAGCTTCTAAGCCTTGTTCCCCTTCCCTCCCTGGCCCATAAAGCACTATTCCCTCTCCCCCGGCAAACCAGACACTCCTCACTGAAAGGTGCAGTGTGGTCATTTGTGTAAAATAGAAAATACTGGATATCCTCTTGTTGGGGGCGGGAGTTTAAAACTTGAATTTTTTCACTATTTAACAATTAGTGTAATTCATAAAACCATCCATGAATATTTCTGGAGGAAGTGAAATATCACTATTTTGGTAACACTATTTCACTACTAACTTTCCCTTCCTCACTAGTTAGGTACATCTCTTATAATTTAAGGCGGGGATTTTCAAAGAAGCCAAAGGGAATCAGATTACTGAAAGTCACTGGGTTGTGGACTCCCCTTAAGCTTCTTTAAAAATCCCAGCATTAAATGATTCACCCACACAGTGTGTGGCTATGTTGGTAGGGATGCTGCCCAAGTCATTGTATATTTGATCTAAAAGAGTATGAATTGGATAAAACAACCTTCACTGTGTTGTATCCAAACTTATGAATTGAGATGACGTGTTCATGGGAAGTGTAAATCACATCTGAGGTTTGGTTTGTTCTGGTTTGTTCAACTTTGTTTATCATTGCCTAGCTACAATATCGGTTGCTGTAAGTGCATTAAACAGAATGATTAAAGGGATCACTCCTTTCTGGTACCTCCACCTAAGTTAATGGAGGAGCAAAGTTTTCCACATTAGAAAGTAGTGAAATTGTTTCTAGCTGCTTTTTTCTCTATATTCTTAACCAGAACCATGTCAAGTTACAACAAAAATCAAGAACTTATTCTTCAAAGAAATTGCTGAATAAACTTTTTGAGCAGGAATTAACAGATATTTTTGGACAACATCTTAATACAGAGGTTCTTGTGGACTTCCTGCCCATCCATTCATGATTTTACAGACCATCATCTCTCTAGTTTTTGATTGTTACATCCCTATGGCAATTACTTATATGAAAAAGTAATATTAGGAAATTATTTAATGCATTGGTAGCAGTCTGGCTGTATTTGCCTGACCACCCCACCATTTCGCAGGAAATGATCCTGGTGGGAAACATTAAGTCACTGGTTTTCTGGAGCGCACATATGGTGGAGCTGAGCAGTCCTTACAGAGAGGAGCTTAAGAGAGGAGAAGCCAAGCCTGGAAGCATAGCTTGGGCAGGATTTTGTGGAAGTCCTTATGTGACTAAAGCCAAATCCAATAATGGGGTCAGTAAGTTTTGATGCACCACAACTTGTGTGGACTCTGGAGTAAGGCGGAAGAAGCCAGCACCGTATGATCAGCCAGCTATTAGCAAACCACCAAAGTTTGACAGACCAGTCTGTAAATCTCTGTATCCAGGATTGAATCTTTGTGCTATGTGAAATTCCTATTACATTCAATCTGGTAATATATAGATCTAAAAACCAAGAGTCTTTCGTCTGTTAAATTCAAGTTCTAAATAGCACTTCACTCTCTTTCATGATCTGTTCTTATTACCACTAAGAGTATTTGTTACACTTCAACCTGCCTCTAGCACTGAATGATCATAAATGACTACCTCATCCTACACTGAACACCTCCAGATACTGTACAGAAATTGAAAATGATTGTCATTTGGTTTTGCTGCAGTATCCTAAATCATTTAAATCTTTTTCTTGTGAGTTTAACAGGCTGCCACCACTGCATTACTTCATTGTCACTTGTTGCTCTCCACTCAGTGTTTCATACTTGTATTCTTTTAAGTAAAATATTTGTTTTTTTAGTGATGACTGAAGAAATAATTCAAGGCTGAACCAGCCAACAAATGACAATCGTTTGTGGCCAAAATGTGATATGACTGGTGTAGTAATAGCAATGAAAACAAATGATGGTCTTTAAATAAATATCCCTTATGTTTTTCCCTGGCTTTTACTTGTATGTTTACTTTTAACATTTAAGATCTCTGGGAAACTTTGTACTTAAATAACCAGAAGAGACAAATATACTCAAATTATGCCAAATTAAAACTAGGCCATGCTTGAGCACTAGCTAAGCAAGGTCTTCTGGGGGTCCTGTGTCCCATGCAAGTTCTGCATTTCACAGGCTGGTCCTGTATCCCTCTCAGGAATGGTATGCAGTGGGGGGGGGGAAAGATGAACTTCTCAACCCAGAGAGTGAGGAAACGATTTACTACTAGAAATCCTACCCCAAATCTCTTCTGGCAGTGGTACTGCTAAAGGGGGAAACTCAGGCCTTTGTTTTTGGAGGTGTTTTTCCTTGCCCATCTCCTTCCATCAGCTTGGGGTTCTCCATGTTATGATACCAACACTGATTAGGAGGTGTTGCAAAGAGCAGTGGGTCTAGAGAAACAAATCAGAAACTTGCATGTAGCATTAGAAATATGTGCGGGAAGCAATATAAATAAACACAATACATCTGAGTGGAAGGTCTGCAACCCAACTATTCAGTGGGAGGAGCTATGTGGAAAGCAGTAAAACCAAAGAGAGCTAAGGTGAATCTAGGACAGCAAATCTGATCAGCTCTCTACCATATTATATGGGAAAGAGAGGGAAGATCTCATGATGTAGTGGAGAATTAAAACTCTTTGTTGCTGCTCCTTTTGTCGTTGTAGTAACTGAGTCCTTTTGTAACTGAGTTGCTGCTTTCCATTGGCTTCTCCTGCCAAGGTAATGACACTTGATTAATTTTCCTCTCCACTCACCCACAAGCAAAAAATCCTAAAATATCACAAGCTATGGCTACTTTAAATAAAAGTTATTTAAATTATTGTTTCTGACTAAAGTTGAGTCTTTAGCATTTTGTGTGCACTGAAGACTTAAATGAAGCCCTTTGGTTTAGGATTTGGGGCACCCTATCCCAGGTCGGTGGGGCTTGGGCAGCTCAGAGTTGGGTCCCTCGCTCCTGGGGTCATGTAGTAATTTTTGTTGTCAGAAGGGGTTGCAGTGCAATGAAGTTTGAGAACCCGTGTGCTAATGTGAACTGAATCCTGTGTTAAAATAATTTTAATCTCATCTTTGTAATATGTTTTCATTACTTACATAAAGAAAAATTTAGATCCTTATTTTGAAAATAGTTTCCGTAGATACTCATGTGAATTAATATCTTCAGTATAATATAGAAGTTGTACAAACATGAATGTTAAATAGTTTATAATTTTATATTAAAGTAATTTTTCCTATCGTGGTTACTAAAAACATGAAAAATGAATTTCATGATTTTATTTTTTCATTATATTTAACCTTCTATTGTGTGTCTGCAAAAATATTTGATTCTTACAATACTACTTACCATCAACAGCTTGAGGAATAACAGTTTGATTGCACAAAGACAAATTTCTATAGAAAACTGTCTTTAAAACCTCATGTTTCTTAGCTCCCAGTCTCCGCCTTATAGAGACACCACGATAGGGGAATACATTATTATGAAATATAGCTTTCTTAAAAATGGTATTGTTTTGACCATGCAACAATCTAGAATCATTACCTTCAGGAGGTGAGTTTTTTCCCTTCTTTTCTGTCCTGTTACCACAGCTGCAGATATTTTCATGCTACAGAATCTCTCATACATGTGCTTAATGGCTGAGAGACCCCCCCCCGCACTGGCATGAGGTTTGGATGCTAATTGTTATTAAAAACCTGTTACTTGTTGTGGAGTGAAGGTCTGAGTACAGAGTTGTGAGTCATCAACTCCTGAATCCTAATCCTGGATTTAGCACATTCTTCCTGGGATTGTAATATAACTTCATTGCTACCACTTCCCCATAAACACAATGAATACTTGGGTTTGAAAGAGTCAATTAGTTAATGTTTAGTTAACAAATTTTAAGTTGTTTTTGTGTTGTATGTAATTATTGTTCATGGTGAATTCTCAGGCTTCTAGGTATAGCAAAATACCTTTATGTTGAATAGATAAAGTACTATTACTTTATAACCTTAAAATATACTTTCTTCCTAGCTGGAAAAAACACCACTGATGAAGAACTGGAAGAAATGTTAGAAAGTGGTAATCCTTCTATTTTCACTTCTGATGTATGTATTCACAGCCCACTTTATGGCTATCACATATTCTATTTCTTCTATTCAGGAATATGTCAATCACATACTTATTAGTTATTTCCTATTTTCCTCCTTCAAAGATTATATCGGACTCCCAAATTACTAGACAAGCTCTGAATGAAATTGAGTCACGACACAAAGATATTATGAAACTGGAATCCAGTATACGGGCACTACATGACATGTTTATGGACATGGCTATGTTTGTTGAGACTCAGGTAACTGAACCAATTCAAATATTGTATTAGTAATGAAGTGCTTTGCATGTTTTGTAGTTTTCCTGTGAAAACAATACAGGACAGTGACATACTCAAATATCTAGCAATCTTGATAACTGCAACATTTTTAGGTATCATTTTTTATTTAAACGCTGTAATCGCAACCCTGTAAAAACTAAAGGCAAACTACTGAAGATTACACATCAGATGGTGTTTTTTTTTTTTTTTTTTTTTTTAAAGGCTAGAAGGCATCATCTAGTCTGAGCTCCATGTCTGATCACATCTGCTAGGGATAATGAATAACTGCCATTGTGATCCATAAGATATACAAAAATGTGTCAGATGCTAAAGGATGAGATTTTTTGCAGTATATATTTAAGTACAAGTGTAAAACTATTTTTAGTGCTATAGTGTAATTTCCTGATCAGGGCTAAATAATATGGTGGGTGAATACACTGACCTGAATTCAAATCTAGATTTAAATCATAGAGTAAGAGTAAATTAGGCCATAACAGGCAGTTAATATATTGAAAACCAACAGAATTTCTTAGCTGTTGCAGAAGACTAACGTGGTGGTGGGTTAAATGTTGGGTGAGAAGTGTATTGGCAGTGATGGAGAATTGGCATGCTACATACCCATACTTAGTTTTAATTTCCATTCATGTTAATGGGAGCAAAGCCCATAAGTGGGAGGGTGATAGCCAGTGTCCCCACCTCTCAATTTCACAAATGTTATCTTCATAAGGAGGTGGGAAGAAAAGATCATTTAGGGTTAAAAGCAATTAACTCTATTTGCAGATTTATAAAAATATGAAAAATTATATTCAGTTGAACTGTATAAACTCTGTTCTTGGGATTCACTGACTTTTTTTTTAACAGTGAAAATAAACTGTGTTAGATCCAGTGTGAAAGAATTCAGTGGGTAGTATTGTGAATAATCAGCCTATATTTAGCATATCCTTTTTTGGAGGATTTCACATTCTATAAGTCTGATATATTGCCTTGTTGCAAAATGAATAAGTGTTAAAATTACTGGCATGTTATAAACTTGTACAGAAATGAACAAGTTATTTGTGCATCATTTTTAATGCTTTGCTGTTCGCTGCTGCTGATTATTTCTTCTGATGGACAGAAACACAGGTAACAGATCTACTGTAATATTTTCCAGATCTTGCATTTCATTCCCAAAGTTCATTCATCATGACTGAGCTAAAATTCATTATCTACTGGCATTCTAAGTAGTTAGTTTGGAGGAATCCACCTCCTTAAAACCTGTGAATAATTTTGGATGAATATTTTGTAGGTATTCTTGCCGTTTCCATATGCTTCTTCAGATACTTCTGAACTCTTTAGTATGCCAGTTTTAGATTAGCTATTAAAGCATACCTTTCTCTTAGGAATATGCTTTAAATTATCAGTATTTTGTCCCTACCTGCCCTTACCAATATTTTTTCTTTTTAGGTTAAAATGTTTTTCCTATGAGACCTTGCTTCCCATTCCTTTTTTCCATCACATGTGGATGCAAAAATAAAAACTTTAGCCATTAATACATAATTATTTTCCATGTTTAAAATCATTTTGATATGTTGTTTACTCAGGTTCATTATGCAGGGCTCCAGAAAATCCCAGTAGTGGTTTTTAAAAAAAAAAAAAATTTTCTTAATTTTATTTTAAGGGTGAAATGATCAACAGCATAGAAAAGAATGTGATGAATGCATCAGATTATGTAGAACATGCTAAAGAGGAGACAAAAAAAGCAGTTAAATATCAAAGTAAAGCGCGAAGGGTAAGGTTTTTTTCTGGATTTTCGATAACTCAATTGATATGGCGTAACATAAAGGTAGTTTTTACTGTAGTTAATTTCACATGCTGTAACTTGATGTTCTTTGAGTGCTTGCATATGTCCATTCTACTGTGGGTGTGCGTGTGTCCCATGCACCAGTGCTGGAGAGTTTTCCCTAGCAATACTCAGGGGCAGCCCCAACCATTCCCAACCTCCTCGTGCTTCGAAGAAAGAGGTATAAATGATGGAACCACCTCTCCCTGAGTTCCTTCTTGCCATCCATGTCAGTGGTCAGAGCGTTTGTGTTCTGTGGCAAGTTTACAGCTCTGTATTGCCAATCCGTATGCAGTGTTGGTGAGTATGGCTATTCTAACTGGGAGGCAATCTGTTTACCAATAATGTGACAGCGGGTTTGAGAGAACAGGGTTCTTCAGTCCTTTGCTGCTGAGGACTGCGTTGTCTCTCTATCAGCTCTTCAGGCCTCCTTGGACGTGGCAGATTCTGTAGTGAGAGCTATGGTGACAAGTACTCACTGTGTGTCAATGCTCCTGGTTGCAGTCCTCGGGGATCCCTGTGGAGGTGCAACAGACAATTGAGGACCTTCCATTCAAGGAATGTGCCTTGTTCTTACCTAAAACAAAATATTGCACTCCCTGAAGGACTTGAGTGGTTTTGAGGTCCTTGGGTCTCTACAGTTTGGCTGCAAAGCAGACAAAATTACCATCCTCAGTTCCAGCGTAGACAGCAGTATTATCCCTTCTATCAGGCTGACTGCTCTAAGGGAAGGCAAAGAAGGTCACAGAGGAGAAGGCTGTGTCAAGGACAGCATACTGCCAGACCTGGGCCAAACTGATCCTTCTCCTCCCGCATCCATACCCCCTGGACAGAATATCCCATTTCCTACATGCTTGGCAGTCAGTCCATCACCTCAGACAAGTGTGTGTGCGAAGCATGATGGAATCAGGATTATACTCTGCATTTTCTTTCTGTCCACACCACCTCACCCTCCAGTCTCTCTTCAGGGACGCCCTCTCATGAGTCTGTACTAAGGCAAGAAGTGCAGACTCTGTTATTGGGAGCCATAGAAAAGGTTCCCCTTCAATATTTTCTAATACCCACGGCTAGAGAGTGTCTGAGACCCATCCTAGACCTTCGGAACCTGAACAAATATATCAAGAACATGAAGTTCTTCATGGCATTTCCTAGATTCAGGAGAGAGAGCATGCTTCCCTTGATTTACAAGATGCCTACTTCCTGTGGCCAGGATGGATTGTCACATGGAAGTTCTGAGGTTTGTGGCACGGGATGATAATTACCAGTTTCACCAGGCTGCCATTTGGTCTATCATTGGCACAGAGGATCACTTTGCCAAGTGCATCACAGTGATGGCAGCCTACCTCCACCAGAGATACATCCATGTTTATGCTTACCTGGAAGATTGGCTATTTCAGGGTTGCTCTGGACACCAGGTGCAGGCTATAGTCCATCAAACTTTGTTCAATACTCTGGGTCTGAAACTAAGTGAAGAAATGTCCATGTTATTGCCTCTGCAAAGAATAGAGTTCAGAGGAGTGGTCCTGGACTCGACTTCTGCCAGGGCATTTCTGCTTCTTTCCAGATTTCAGACTCTACAAGACCTCTGTGTCCCCCTCAAGGATCATCCACAGACCACAGAGAGAAATTGTTTAAGGCTCCTAGGTCACATGACCAAATGTACATATATTATTCCTAATGCCAGGCTGCATCTCCAAGCATTGTGAACATGGGTCTGATCAGTCTTATCACCCTCAGAGTTATCTAGACAAGCTAGTATGCATTCTGGACATGATAACATCATCTCTTAGCTGGTGGATGAGCCAAGACAATGTGTGCAAGGGAGTCCCTCCCCTCCCCTTCCCCCCGCATTGCTTGACTTTAGTAATGGAAACTTCAGTCATGGGGTGGGGAGCACATCTGGGTGATCTTCAGACTCGGGGTTTGTGGACTATACAGGTTACATATCCTCCTCAAGTTGCAAGCAATATTCCATATGCATCAGCATTTCCTGCCTCACATTCAGGGCAAGACTGTCCAGGTGCTCACCAACACCACCACAGTGGCATTTTATGTGAATAAATGGGTGGCATTAGGTCAGATAGCTTGACTGCCTCTTGGCACAGGCTATGGAATTTCTGCATACAAAGCTCCGTCACTCTCAGGGAATGTTGCCTGACAGAGATTCAAAATAGCTTGGCAGGTTGTCTGAGCAGATCCTTCAACATAGACCATAAATGGTCTCTCAACCCAGCTGTTCTAGTTTGTGTTCTGCATAGGAGGGTTTCTGTTGGCCGATCAGTTTGCAGCCTGGCAAAGCAGAAAATGTCCCTGATTCTGCTTCAGGGTTGGTCAGAGCCCAGAATCAATATCCAACATTTTTCTGTTTTTTCATGGGACAAGGACCATCTGTATGCATATGACAAGGTCATGGCAGAATGATCCTCATAGACTGGAGCTATCTGAGACAGCCATGGTATTCAGACCTACACAACCCATTCACCAACAACCCTTCCTATTACCAATAACCAGAGACCTTGTCACACAGAACCATGGTTTGGTGTTCTATCAAATCCTAGTGCTGCACCTCATGGCATGGTTCATCAATGAATGCACAAGATATTTATTGCTCAGTGGCTGTCCAGAATGTTCTCCTTAACAGCAGGAAACCTTCCACATGAGCGGCTTACCTGAGTAAGTGACAGTTCTCCATCTGGGTGGCCTCCCATAATGCCACTTAGTCAGAAAATGACTCAATTGATTCTAGATTACCTCTCACTTTTTAAGGAGTCAGACCTAGCACACACTCCGTTATGGTGCACATGGCGGCTATCTCAGTATTTCATGCTCAAATTGATGGTAAGACTGTGTTTACTCACTCTGTCACAACAGGTTCCTGAAAGGTTTAGATTATTTCTGCCTGTGGGGATCCAGCACTATCTTGAGATTTGAATTTAGTGTTGTCTGCTCTTATGAACCCTTCTGTTGAACCTTTCGCATCATGCTTACTTCTGCACCTTTCACCAACGGTAGCTTTCTTAATGGCTATTCTCTCCGCTAGGAGCATGAGGAACAGAATGCACTGGTCACTGATCAGTAATATACAGTTGTCTACAAAGACAAAGTTCAGCTACGTTTCTCTCCAAAGTAGTGTGTGATTTCTACCTGAATCAGTCTACATATACTTTCCAGTTTTCTTCCCAAAGCTGCATACTCATAGGGACAAATGAAGACCCACTCTCCTTTCCCAGTGCAGTGAAGTCTACTGTTGCATTCCACTGTGAAGGAACTGAGGGAAACACTGGGCAGTTCTTCCTTTTATACTTCCCACTTAGGAGCAAGAGCAGCTCAGGCATGGGTGTGGCTATCCCTAGTAGTACATCTAAAGCCTCAGCACCAGTATGTGAAGGACATACCCCTCCCCCCCCCATGCTGTGATGGACATATGCAGCACATCTCGAAGAACAACATTTATGAAAAGGTAAATAACCTTTTTTGTTCTACTTGTTTCTATACTGTAAGCATGTGAACATACAAGAAATAACGCTTAGCTTTTTTAGAGTTACTATGTATGGGTCAAATGAAATTGGATTGGAAAATTTATATTCAAATTGTTCATGGTCTCTACGTCCTTAAAAAGTGAAATCAATTTCTTTACCAAATTTCCTCTTCCCGTCTGTTATACACTCCATTTGTTATTACAGGATATAGCTTACCAAATTTGTTCTGAATAGACTTTAATGTGAATTGGAATATTACTTCTGAAGGGTAGAAACTTGTGGGAGGGGAATATATCACAATTCACATGCAGTAAAGATTAACTTTTTTTTCATTAAAGCAAATTATTTCTGAATGCATAAAAACTGTACACCCAAAAGAAGTGTTTAAAATGTGTCACTGGTAAGTAACTTCTATGGCACAAAGTTATTCAGGAGTGAAATATGTTTATAAAGGCTTAGAACCTCTATAATTGAAAGACCTATCTGGACATGTGGTTGTAATAATATATTTAAAATTAATTTAATTTTTCTGCTAACATTGTAAATCTCCTTTAGCAAAGTGGAAATTCCATTCATACTATATTATTTTCAAAGATTCAGTGGCCACAGTTTATCATTGACATGCACTTCTAAAAATGTATGAATCATCATAATTTGATGGGCATCATATATGGTTCAAAGAAACGAAATGATGTGATGTCATTGGAAAGGTTTATTTTTAAAAGCTGCATTTAATTCACTTGCATTGACACTGAAAATGCTTCGTGTTTGAATATGCTTCTTCCCTTCAGCCCCCAAGATGAGTCATTCTGAAGTCAATAATCTACTAAAACAATTGCTTTTTGACCTCTGAACACTAATGGTTTTGCAGTCTAGCATCTGCATTATATTAATATTCTTTTAAAACGGCAATGGAATTTTGTGAGTTATGTAATATAGGGTGTGTGGTAGGGGGTGGCAAGGGAGACTACAGCAAGAATTTTATTTATGTTCTTGGCATGATAAGTAGCTTCAGAGCAGGCAAGTCATATGGAAAGACCTGACTCTAGCTAGAGACTGTAGAATTGTACTTAGATTATTTTAGAGATAAATAATCTTTGGTTTCAAGAGCAAATTATATACAGTCTTTTTGAGGTGTATATATTCTCTGTCCCAGTACCCTCTACATAAACATATTTTTTTTTCAGTATTGGGAACTGTTAATATGTTTAAAATGAGGTAGATATCAGATATGGGAGCCCAAATGTTTCCTTGTAAATGCTGGCAAAAAAGCTAATAACTCTGACATTTGCAATCAACTCTAGCCTCACTAGATTAGAGATCCTTTTAAGAAACCAAGTGGCAGTCAAAAATGGTAGTCAGGACCATTTCAGGCTTCAAAAATTAAGGTGGTTCTAAAAAGATTGAGAATAAATCCAGATCCTGTTTAACACTGTGTTCTGAAACTAATCACCTTGCTTTTCTTTGACAGAAAAAGTGGATAATTGTCATTATATCGCTGGTGTTGGTTGCCTTAATTGCTCTAATTGTTGGTTTGTCAGTTGGTATTCGATGATGCTCGGATAACTTCAGCATGCATATCTCTGCCAATGCGGCAGTAAGTAACTAATCAACTAATTTGCTTCATTGTTGTTTATTTTTGAGAACTCACTACGCAAGCAAGCTATCTTGTACCAACCCTTAACACATATACAGTGTAATACTAATGACCAGGCAGTGGGGATGGACGTGATGAAGTAGTGAATCTTGTCCGTCTCTAATTTCTATAAAAGCCCTAATGTATATTCAAAAGTAGATATCTTTTGAATTATGAAAACTGAGATCTAGTGGTAATTTTATGTAATTTACAGATTTCAACCTCATGATGTAAGATTTTTGAGATTTTAAAAATCAATGGGACAGATCCTCAGCTGGTGTAAATTGTTACAAGCCTGTTAACTTTTACATGGAAAATGTACGCCAGCTGAGGATCTGCCCAAGGTGAGAAATCATTTTCACTTGGAGTTGAACTTTGATCACATAGTGTGTTTACAATTATAAAGAGCTTTCAAGACAGACCCATATTACATAGGCCACTCTGAAGCCAGAGTGTGTGTTGCAACACAAGTGCGTTAAGATTTCCCAATTAGAAACCAGACTTTTTAAATCGTATGCTTTCTAATCAGCTCTTTTATGAGATGGCAATATTTAGAAGTGGCAAGATACTAACTCTAAAATAACAACGCAAATTTGTGTTTTTGAGACTTCTCAGCCTTTTTCTATATTAGCGGAACAAGTTATTGTCATCTACGTAGCAACATTTTCTTCAGTCACAACCTACACTGATGATCTGCAAGAATGAAAAGGTCAATGATTCAGAACTTGAAAGGGAAACTCTATTGTACTTATGTTCTTAGATACTCTGTATACTAAAAGGATGATCATACTGGGTCAGAACAATAGTCTATCTAGCCGGGTATCCTGTCTTCGGACTGTGACCATTGCCAGATGCTTCAGAGAGAATGAACAGAACAGGGCAATTGAGTGATCCATCCTCTGTTGTCCAGTCCAAGCTTTTGGCAGTTGGAGGTTGAGACAGCCATAGTGCGGGGCTGTGTCTTTGACCATCTTGGCTTATAGCCATTGATCAACCTATCCTTCATGAACTTACCTATTCTTTTGTGAACCCAGTTATACTTTTGGCCTTCACAACAGCCCATGGCTACTTCTGTATCTTTAAAACCTGGAAATATTGACATAATTAGAAGCAGCATTCTCTTTCAAACAGCTCATCAGGAATAGTTATTTAAACTATCACTTTTTTAACATGGAGTGTGTTTTTGTTGTTACTAATACAATACCATCTCAATTTGTAGTTTAGTAAATCCTGTCATTTGCATATTAAACCATAGAATCAGGAGCACTTAATCTTGCATTAGCCTATGTGACACATCTAGTCCAATGAACCCATTTTGTTCCTGCAATAATTACTGGTGAGCTATCAAATATGTAATAGTTGCTTATTGATTTTCTTATTACATTCTATTCAGCTCCGTATGTGTTAATAAGAATGAACAACAAGTATCCAAGAAAAGGAGAAGATAAGCAGTTTCTCAAATCTCCAGTTACGACTGCAGACATAAACATGCTTTATCAACTCAGCTTCCATATGTAGCAAACAGTACTTTATCAACAGAAGTTGTTTATGGATTTAAACATGAGTATTCCATGAAATAAAACACATAGGTGTTAGGCAAATATTCAAAAGTTAATTTAAGACTACTGTGATTGACTGCAGTTATATGTACAATTTGGAAGAGAAATACTGGCAATAAGTATGTCATTGTATTGAGGTGCTTTTCAAAAAACTTCAACTACATGTCAACATTTTCTGTCCATATATACTATTTGCTATGGTTCTAGAATGTGCATGTACTACTTAAAATAGATTTAAAATCTGATATGATACATTAATCTGGATTTTTCTTTTTTGCAGAAAATGACATTCATAATTATTTGTGTAACTGTCTTGCTTGTGATCCTTGGAATTATCCTAGCAGCTACATTATCATAGCAAGCACATTCCAAGAGTTTAAGAATCTTCAGGCTCCAAATCACATCTGCAGTGAAACCAAATATCCTAACTTTTTTGTGGTAAAAGATGCCTTACACCATGTTACACATGATGTTCAATGCTGACCTATCATTAGTGATTTAAAGGTGAAAACACAATGGCACCTAATGTTTAATCATATCTGTAAATCAAAGTGTATATGGGAAATCAATTGGATTTTCATCAGAAACCACATGGATCTGTCAGTGTGAAGCCTGCTTTTAATGGTTTTGAATTTAAGTGATTTGGGAATTCCACTTTTTGATATTTCAGTGTTATAAACACAGAATTTAATTAGGGAATTGTGGAACTATTGAGTTTTGGCTATTTGGTATAATTTTTTCACTTCTAATGCAATTTTAATCAAGAATTTTAGTATCACATTTGTGTTCTCTTCTTGTTAACAAAATAATTGATTCTCTGAGCACTGTTTTGTAGGCGATGTAGCCATAACTTTACATAAAACATTTACTGGTTAGTCATCTTGCTCTGTCCAGTTTTTATAGGAAAAAAATTCCCTCTTCAACTAATGCTGCCTCATTTTATTTTAAAAATCAATTTGTGCTTAAAGATATTATACAATTCTTTTTAATTTGAGGGGGAAATCCTGCTTCCAGAAAGCTTGTGAAGCAACCAAATAGCGTTCTGTTAATAGTGACTATAAAATTTGAACTGTTTTTAACCCCCCCCCCCCCCAGTAAAGATTGTTTAGAAGATTGCACTTAAGTCCATTTCTGCTTGTTGCATTATGTTAGAATTCTTAGATTTGGAGGGGGGGGGGGACACTAGTTATTGTGAAGTTTATTGCTCTATTTACTTTATCAGATTTATTGTGCTTAATTGCTTAAAATGTGTGTCTAATCTATATAATCAAGACAGTGGCTGCAATGTTTTCCTGGTATAAAAATGCAATAATGAAGCACAGATATAGTATTTGAACAGTTTGGGAAGATATTTCAAAATAAAATTTGTTGTGCATATGAAACTAAAACTGACAGCAATTTAGCTTTACAACTTTGACCAGATTGGCATAAGCCACATTTCATCTTGTTCCTTATAGAGCAAAAATCAAGACTTAATTTTCAAATGTTTGCAAGTGGTGGTGAGAAATGATAGTAATGAATAGGTTTCCTTAATTGCATTATATTTAGATTTGCTGCTAATACACTGATTTGTTATGAAATTTACTTTTGTGAATTTATGTAACAAGTATGAAGAGTTTAGTAATGGCTATCATAACTGATATATTGCTGCTTGTAAAGTTTTAAACATTTCAAACTTAACCAAAATAGCCTAATTTAATGTTACAGGTTATTTTTGTTCTTGTATCATTTCTGTGTAAAATATTTATAATTTGTATTTTGATTTCTCATTTGAATATGTTCATGTAGATATATTTACACTTAAAGTGAAATAGAAAAAGAAGAAAGGGAGCCTTCTTAAAACATGGCTTACATCTCTTCATTTTTCTGTTTTAAGATGGTTACAAATGTTGTTTTGCTTTAGATAATGTTAAATGTTGCAACTTTTTAGTACTGCAGCTTACTGACTCATTACACATTAAAATGTTCTTGTTTAAAATGTCTGAGAAGCAAGTTATACATTAAAATGTAACTAATTGAAATGCTTAGCAAGATTTACAATGTATGCCATCTGTTGAAGGATATTCCTGCTTGATGCTGTCCAAATATACTGTGAAATTTTCTTCAGATTGTATTTTGCAAATGGTGATCCATGGTGAAAGCACATAGGAACAAATAGGCTTCTTTAGTTGCATTGTGTTTGGGATTGCTGAATAAGATCCTGATTCAGTAATTTTATCCTGAAAACACTTGTTAAAGATTATTCATGGACTCTTACAAATCGGCTATCAAGAAATTTATTGAAATGTTCATCTTAATTAATGAACAAATTTCTTTACCTTTCCTTGAGTTCGGACACCCAGGAGTGACTATGGAAGTCTTTATGCAAAATACTGACAGTTGGTTGACTTGAAATGGTCAGTTCTTAAGTAAAATGTATTTTTATTTAATAGCTTTGTTTTCTAGTATTTAGTAATAAAACTTATTTATAGAAATGTACAGATTATTCTATTTAAGAAAAATATCAGATAGTGCTGTTGATAGAAGTGGATTATCTACATCAACCAAAAAAAAGTGTGTAACTTTTTACACTCATTTGCAAGAGATTCTCCATTCAGAATATAAATTGAAAGGGTCATTTTTTACTACTTTATATTTGTTCATATACTTGCCTCACAATTTTGTTTTTTTTAAAAGAAAAGAAAATACAAGTATATTTCAAATTCCACACAGGTGTACATGCTAACTTCCTTGTCACTTCAGGAGCAAACAACTGGTTTCTAGTTTAATTAATTTAAAAAAAAAAAAAAAAAAACTCTAATTTCCCATTCACTAATAAATTTATCTATGCAAGCATTTCACTTGTGACTACTTTTATGTTGGTGAGTTTATTGTAAATGTTTACACATTCTACTGGAAATACTTCATTGTGGGTGGTATGATTCTCAAAGCAATTGTAAAGTCCCAATAAACAGGTGTATAGGAATGAGCGAGAATAAGCCATAGCATCAAGCACTTCCTTTCAAAAAATCCCTGCTAAGATCCTGAAGTAATACTGCACATACTTATACATATGAGTAACTTTTATACATATGAGTAACTTTAGAAGAGGAAGTAATCCCATTAGCTTTTTTAAAGCTGAAAAACAATTATTTTTATCAAACAAAATCTTGAAGTCAGTCGAGCTACTCATTTTAGCAATGGTACTCCTGTGATTGCAGGTTCAGGTGCTTGGTTTGTTTTTTCAAATTCCTTATAATGTTTACTGTAAACTGAAGTTAGAAATTCCTACAAACTCACAGGAAGGAGGGGGAGTTCCTGAAGGGCTCTGCAGTTTGGTATCAGCCTATTATTATACATGGAATCTTTCACCTCAACACTGCAGGTTTAACGTTATCTTGTGTCTGCTTCTACTGCTTCAACCCAAATAAGAGACTTTGAAGTTCACTCTTGGTAGAATAGGAGGTTGTATAGCTGATTTTGTCTGATTTTTATATACATTTTTAGAAATTAGATTGTACATACTTGGATAGGTGTGGTTCTGTAAACTAAATTTAGCAGTGACCAGAAGGTGTTACCATCCATTCCAAGGGCTGTTCAGTGACCTGCATGAAATTGATTGTTCCTCTCCTCCAGTTCTTAATGGGCAACTATCCACAAACACTAATTTGCACACTTTTTGATCAGTCTGAGTCACATGGACTGGAGGGACATAAAGACAACAGTAGAGGCTTAATCCATGTAGGTCCGAGCTGATGCAATTGATGAGGAAGCTAAGGAAGTGATGACTGATTATAATAGTACTGCATAATGATCAAGTGGGCAGCTCAGAGCTGTCAGTTGGTAATTTTGGCTAAGCACTACAACATGCAAATTCCTTCTGACTTTTTGTAGAGCTATAGTATCTTTAATATGTATGCACAGCAGACAGGGCCTTCTGCTCTCAGATGAAAGACTCCTGTTAACTGCATGGAATTTATTTGTTTGTATTACTATAGCACCTCGGATGCCCAGTCATGGGTCAGGGACTTGATGTAACTTAGATGAATGATGTTCAACCTTGCTGGGATCTGTAGCTCGGCTTCCAGATAGCCTTTGTCATTTCAGATCACTAAGGGTCAGATTCTGATGCACTTAATCTGATTGAACAATGTTTAATCTATGAAAACATCACATTGAGTTCCATGGGATGTCCAGCAGACAAAGGTACTATTATATGCAACATGAGTAAAGGTATCTCACTCTGGCCATAAATCACACTATCAGTTAGGGCTGTTAAACTAGCAGGTGTTGTGGGTGCTAAGTTCCCTAGTTAGAAAAGCACAAACTCTGTGGCTTGAAATACTTCTCTTATGTGAGGTTCTTCAGAGGAACAGTTTCATTATGCTTACAAACAGGAACTGGGGCACAGAGATCAAGGTCAAAATATGCACTAATTTTGGTACCCTCTCATCTCGCCAGGGTATTGAGAAGATTGATAAATATTTGAGTGCTATACAAAAGCCCATAATGAAATTAATAAATTCAGAGTAGAATTTGAGTAGTGTACAGTAAATGAGGCCTGGGGCCATCCATTGCACACAATTCTCATTAAGTGAACACTAGCCATCCTGAATGAGGCAGGGCCTTATGGGAAAAAATAGTATGTGAGCATGTAATTAAAGATTGTGTTCATAATAATGCATATGTACAAGCAGGTTGAATTAAGGTTGCAGAGGCAACCTTAATTCTGGCTTTTCCTAACTCTTGAATGCTTAACTTTGCAACTTTTAATAATGTTGTTTTAATCTGTTTGGTGTGTAATACAATTAATGGAGTTGAATCATAAGAATTTATTACTGTGTGAATGCAGACATGTACTGGCACCGGAACAGAATGCTGGTAGCTAAAGGTAGAGTATTTCTGCCCACTAGTGGTGACTTTCAAACCAGACATTAACAGTGTTATACATAGAAGTTTTCCTTAATGGTAGGAGAAATACATTATTTTCCTTTAAAAAAAGATAACTTACTTCTTCCCTCAGCCAAAAGGGCTAAATATCTGCTTAGCCAGGTCTCATATATGCCAGCTACTGAACACTGTCAAAGAAGCCACTGTATGCACTGTACTTTTGAGTTCAGATGTGCACCAGGGGCATCCTCTCCTTTAGTCTGTGCACTTCAAAGGGGGTGCTACCTTTATTGGCACTTTGCGGTTCTGATGTGCGCTAAAATACACTTTTCCATGAAATCACTCTCAAGATGAAAATACAAGATTAATAGCACAATCTTGTGTCTACATTAAAGCTATTTCTCCTTGGTGTCAGAAATAGTATATGAAAGTAGTGGTTTTGAACTTAGCGTTCAGTTAGGCTAAACTGTCCTCTCTCTGAAAAGGGTTGAGTGACTGGCAGAAATGTCAGAGCTGGGGAGTAATGTTTGCTTTTCTTCAAAGGTCTGTGCTACCAAACCAAACATGATACTCAAGATTATTTATTGTTCATACAGGCATTTCTGTGTTGCTCCTCATTGCAGTGCATCTGTGGAAGAGTACAAGAAATTAAAACAAATGGACTAGAGAAAATACTTGAACTATATTCTTTTAAAAACCAACATTAATAGTCTCTTTTGCTTCACTTTGTGCCCTATATTACAAAATTTGAACAGCCAGATCTTTAGGCGTTAACGTTAAGATCCAGTCAGCAACTTTTTTTTGCTCTGTGGGAATAAAGAATGCATAGCCACTTTCATATTCAAGATATTTAAATCACAATCCTGCAAACATACACTTGAGGAACTTTACTCAGGTGTATAGTTCCAAGGAAGTCAGTAGAATACTCTTATCATGTTATTCGGGTAAGTATGTATTTCTAAGTGTAAGGTTGTACTTGAATTTGAATATTGGTTGTTGCAACATCTGTACTGACAAATGCAGCAGTTATGCGCTTTACTTCTTTCATATGGCAAGAGAGGTGACTAGCAACATTCAAATAACCAAGTCCAGATTAGTGAGTCACTGGTGGCTTTGGGAGTGGCTTGATTCAAGCCTGAGATGCCACTCGCAAATGACTGAATCTGGCACTGACTTACAATATGGTCCCTAATTTGCAACTGGCATCCAGTCACATGCATTGTCTTACACTTCTGGAAGATGAAAGAGATGACAGCACCTGCCATGCAATGTTCTAAAATGGTTCAATGCAGACCATTATTTTCAGACTAGGTTGAAGCTTGGAAGTTCTTTTGTATGGGCTGCAATCAGATATTTGTTTGGGACGTTACCATTATCCTAGAATTCTTTACAGCGTGCCTCAGGATTGAATGAGAATGCTTTAACAGCTTTATCCCAATCCCAAAAAGGCTTGTGAGATTCAGATATGCTCACAGCATGGGATGTTTGAATCTGGCTAATTTGTAAGAGAACGTTAACTAGAACACAAGTCTTATGCCATAGTTTTTATTTGGAAAATACATTAGGTACCTGTACACATTGTATTACGCTCTGACAGAAACACGTTTGGGGTGAGACTTGAAACTTCCTCCTGGATGGATACCAGCAACTATTACATGTTTCATCTAAAGGCAACAGCTTTTCCAGTGAAGCATCCCTTTAGTACTGCACTGCAGTGTTTTCAGGGATGTAAGCACAATAAAATAAAAGGGAAATCCAGACAGTGGTGATGGTAGAATGGCTGAATGGGGATGTGTGGAGTAAGCAGACTTGTTTCCCATTTGAAATTTATCATTCTTAAACTGCCATCATTGATATTGTTCCTTTGACAAACAGGCACAAAATGGGAATTGAAGCACATTTACTTTGAAAGTTCTTCAAACTACAGTTAACTAATATCAAATGTACTCTGATGTGTTCTTGTGACTCGTATGTCTTTCTAAAAATAATCATGGCACTCTTCCTCCTACTCGGGTCAGTGGGTCAGTCTTTGCACCTGTGAAGCGACTCAAACTTTTTTGTCATGTACAGTGATTGGCTCTTCAGTTACATAGTGCCAGTCACAGACTATTTTGGTTAACGCTATCAAACATGCAGCGTCTGAATCTGCAAACTGCAAACAGCAAACTCTTTACAAACAGCAATCTGGGTTGAAGACCAGATAATCTGAGGAATATACAATAGAATCTCAGGTGTGCAAGAACAAAAGTGCTTCGATAGATTTTTTTTTTTCCCCCGAAAGAAAAAAGAATGGAAATAGTAAGTATTGTCAAACTATTGAGATGGGTACTTACTATATTCAGTGTGTTTCATACTGCCTTTAGATGCTGTGTTCAGTTTAATTTAATTCACTGAGAATAAGCGGAATTATGTCTGTAATAATAAAGTGTCTGTTGAATGGGTAACAGTTATTGCCAATTACAAATAGCTAAATGTATTTCAGACTTTTTTCATTGTAGGTTGGGAACAAAACCTTTCATCACTTACACACAAATTGTACAGTTGATATTTTTCTATACAGTTTCAGTCATAAGATGAAGGACAAGGAAATGTTTGATAGTCACCACCTGGGAGCTACTGTCACTTGAGGAAAAACAAATCTAAACAGAACTGCCCCATGTTAAACCAGTACAGGGAGTGCAGTGTAGGGAATAGTGGTGTACCCTGAAACATGTCTTGAATTTCTCTAACTCTCAAAAGTAAGTGTAAAACTGATTAGTTCAAAGGCCTTTATTCTGATCTCTCTCAGGTTTTACACTAATCACTTAATGTTATATTGATGGATATTGCATCAATAGAGTTACACTAGCATGATATCAGAATGTCCATTGAATTCAGTAATGTGACACATCTAAAACCTCT